TATTATCCCCGCAGTACATAGTATCAGGAAAGCAATAATTTTCCCGTTTGTTGTTAACAAAATTCCAAAAGCTTTTCATGTTTGATGTCAAGTTATTTTCAATTCTTTTACTATAATCATCATGACAAATTTTTGACGCCAGCTTGCATCGGGCTCTGAAATATGAAAATATTTGGTAGTCATCCCAAGATTTACTAAGTTTATAGGCTTTATGAGCTTTTTTCTTTTCAATAATGAGTTTCTTTAAATCATTGTTGAACCAACGGGGAAATTTTGACTTAGTTTGCCTAACATACGGTACAAAGTTACATATACCCTCATACAAAAAATTATAAAAAATGTTTGTAGCCGCATTTATATCTGTTATATTTCTCAAATGATATCCCCAATCAATAGCTAAATAATAATTCAATCCAAAATAATCATCTTTCTTAAAATCAAAGTAGAAATATTCATACTCTAGTTCCTTATAATTATTCACTATTGATAGAGTCATTGGTAATGCTAGGTGATGAGCATGGCATGGCAACAAGCAGTCATTACATACGTCTACGGTACAGTTATGTGGTTCCTTTGCAAAAATCAAATCTAACATTACACCGTAACAGTTCTTTTTATCATTTACTTGAAAGAGATTTTGAAAAGAAAAACTATCAACTATTGCTTGGGCTGCATAGTTGCTATTATCAAAAATTTATATCTCTAGCTCGTCGTTAAACCAGCTTATGTTTGGTAAATTGTAATCACCCAGTAAAAACAATTTACATTGAGGAAACCTTTCAATTACGCTATCAACACTAGCACAATGGTCCACATCAAGATCCAAATTTGAGGCTGGGGGTAAATATACGGCTCCAATGATGATCTCATTATGACCGATTTCTGATAAAACAAAAGTTTGTTTCACATTTTGCGCTTCTACGGCAATTGATCTTGAAGGAAATTTATTTTTAACTGCCACAAAAACACCACCACCTCTAGATTTCGAGCTTGTTAAAGGAGATCGATCTTTTCTATATATAGTGTAGCCTACTAATCCAATTTCTTCATTATCAATGCTATCATTCAGCCAACTCTCCGTAAAAACTATAATGTCGTAGTCAGTTGATGCTATGTTTTGCTCGAAGTCCCTTAGTTTTGTTCTAATGCCACGTACATTCTGATAGTATATTTTTATATTACTATTTTCATTGAACAGGTTACCCTTTTTTAGTTTTTTTTTACAATTTTTGGAGATCCATTAATATATCTTATTGTAATATTTTCCTCTCCATTCGCTACTCTAGTACTCAGTTGTTCTCTTATATCCTTGAGATGATTGCGTTGTGTTATGTTAGACCTGAACTAACTCTAACACCTGATTGTCGAATTCTAATCTTGTTTTTAAGAATTTGCAATAAATCGTCTTTATTTTCCAATAGAACTTTAATGGGTCTGGTAGTATTATTTGGTTTTCCTACACGGGTTACTTTTTTCACTCCAATATCCAAGCCCAAACTTTCTTTAATTTTATTAGTATCATGGTTTATTTTATCACTAATGGTGGCAGCATTATATTCTAGAATATTATATACCATTAAGTTCTTCGCTCTTTTGCGACGTTCTTCTAGTTCGTAGATCATGGTTTTCATGGCAGCAGCTGGATTTTGATAGGAATCAGACACTGGAATGGAATTATTTTGTTGACCAGCTCATTAACCTTATTCTTCAGGGTCTCAATCTGCTTCTTCATAACTGGCACAAGTCTTGATACAAAAAAAGTGTGACTCTATACATAGATGTGTAGATCATGCAAAGAAGTAACTTTCGGACACAAACTGGAAGAAAAAGCCTTCGTGAAACAACTACTGTCATTAAAACATTGAATTACTTGAAAGAAAAATTCAATTATACCAAAAACACTTTTCTCTACACAGTTTCTACTCAGTTGGTATTCCAAACATTAATAATGGAATTAAATCAGATATCAATCGCAGGATTCCTACACAGTATACTAAATGAATTATAAAAATTTCACTCACATGGAACACTGTCATCCTTACTGGTAGACATCGATGTTACGCCCTAAGACACTTGCCTTAGGGATCTTCAGTACCAATCTGGAAAATATATGAAAAAAAACCACACAATTTATTCATAAATTACGATTTTCATGATACAGAATAAGTTTGATCTATTTATGTCATCGATGACATCGTAATGACTTTCATTCACGTAGCCAGAAGGAATCTTTTGAAATTGATTACTTCTTTCCTTTGGAAGATTCCCTCATTTTTTTGTATCAAGATGGAGTAGTAGAAAGCCAAAAACTTTCTTTCCCAAAAATTTGTCACTCCTAAAAATATAACCCTTTCAATTTAAACAAGATTCCTTCTGGCTGGGATTTAATCAAATACGTGAATGAATGTCATTACGATGTCATCGATGACATAAGTAGATCAAAGTTATTCCGTGATATAAAAATTGTAATTTATGAATGAATTGTGTGTTTTTTCTTATAATATTAGCTAGATTGGTATTGAGAGATTGGCAAGTGTGTTACGGCCTAACATCGATGTCTACCAGTGAGGATGACAAGATCCCATACTTTGAAATTCTGAGTTGTTTGAAAACTTCAAAAAAGTTTAATTTCCCTCAAGTAAGAGAACAGTCCACACATTTTGAAGTGATAATTTTCGCTGTTTTTTCGACTTGGAAAAGTTGGGGAATCTCGGGCCGTGAAGATGAAAAAAATAATAGTAGAAAACCAAGGACCTTGGTCCAAAGTGGAATAATTCCCATTATTATTTTTATAATTACCAAAATTCATTTTTGTTTGTGCATACCCTAACGGACATCAGCATTCAGGTAATCTTTGGATAGTTAAGTAAGAAAATTAATATATTATAGTAGTAACTAATCTCTCGGCTTTCATTTTCTCGAAAGTTGGGAAATTTTGCTGGTGGGCTTGGGAAAATTTGGATTCCCTTCCCCCCTCCTGGTTTTTTTTCCCTACGACCCTGGCTGTACAATTAAAATGTTCATATGCTCGCTATCCTATAGCATTAATTAACAGGATTGAATATTTTCAATATATGTCAATATATGTAAAATACGTATTTTGCTTTTCATATGATGAAAAAAATAAGAAACAGGCCAGTTTAGAACGTCCTTTGAAGACCGTGACCTTAATCTAAAGAGAAAGTACGATTTGAAAATTTTGACCTAATATAACCCAGTACTGAAACAAGTTTTTACTATTTTACAGTTTCTCTCATCCGAAATCAAAGCTGTCAGCTTCAAAAGGTACCATTTACTTTGTCGGTTGTGTCGATAACCTTTTCCACAGATCCGGACTATCTTCTGCATGTTGATAAAGGGACACAGTTTTCGTATCCATTTTTCAAATTGTTCCTTCCTGAAAAAACAGTCAGGAAAGTAATTCAACATTTCTGATAATGAAGGAAAACCGTTCTGATTAAACCGTTGAATGTAAATAGTTGTTGAAACTTCAAATACTCGTCCATTTCAATTAATAGGTTATCATTCACGTAAGTGATTTGTTTACACTTCAGAATCGATTTGTTTTGTCCTTTAGGTATTGTTATAGAAATAATGAGGGAGAAATGATACAATGTTCTGTTGATCTGCTTTATTTTAAAGTGGAACGAATCTACAAAGTGCACTAACATAATTGCAGAAGACAGGGGAAGGCCTGAATCGATTAAAATAAAATTATTAACGAATTTTCCATAACGTGTTTGACGACCGTATTGAGGAGAGATACATACGTATTAGAAACTGAATATTTCGAAATGAAATCTGGAAATATTCACCTCTCATAACTACCCACACAGCAAGTTCTGGTAAATGCCTGCCGGCATCTAGTAAATTCCTGCTAATACCTCGAAACCAATGTATAGGTGATCTACTCGAATAATTTCAACATGGTCCTGCTGCTGGATGAACCATAAACATCTGGCGAAACTCACCTCTGTGAGGTATTTTGCATAAATGTCTGTTGGGTATAATTCAATGTATCAATCGTATCATTAGCCTGGAAAATAGTTGTTTACCGGCAGGCATTTACCAGCAACTACTGTGTAGGTAGTTGGGAGATATGAATATTTCGAAATATTTAGTTTCTTAATTTTCCATAATGGAAATAGATATTGTCCACTTTACGATCCTCACATGTGTGGGTACGATTCATTAAGTATGTCAAAATTGATTATACCTTCACCATGAAAGATAAATTACCAGGCTAAAAGTTCTTCTGGTATATTTGACTGAAGCTGAGAATATAATAAAAACTATTTTTTTCATATCCTTTCATGAACTAATAATAGTGATTCACTTACTTCAATTTTTTTTCAATTTTTGAAGTTATGCAAGTTTTCAATTTCTGGATTTTTCTACCACCGTATGAAGGTGATATCAGAAAACACTGTAAATTTCATAGAAATTTATTGATTATTTTCATTTCTGAAAAAATAACAGTTTAGTGTTGGGAAAAAACTCCAGATATATTCTAAAGTGAGTACCAAGACACTCAGAAATCACTGACAACGGAAAAGCTGATGAGTGTGACTGACATGGATCATCATCTCCATAAAAAGGCCCTGAACCAGCTGTTGAGGTAACAAAATATTTGATATGAGACAAGGTCAGGTAACGGGTCAATGAAAAACATAGAGTACTCTGAAAATATACCTGGGAGTATACACTGTTTGAGAAAACACTGAAGGTCTGTTTCAACAAAGCAGGTTTTAGCCTAGAACAACTGCAGGGCTACTCAGAAAGACATTATTAAGACTATTCCAGACAAGGTTATGGAAGGTTCTGAGGATGCAGATTTATGGATCGTTCGAGATGGCACAGAACATATAAGAGCCGATTGAAGGCAGAAAAGATAGAAGTTATCGAAGAAAAAGAATCGAAATTGAACAGAGGCGTAAGGGTGGTGAATTAAATAATTTGTCTCTCACACAAGTTCAGGTAAGAAATGAAACTCCCAAATATATACATTATGGAAATTTTATTGCGTCTTATAAAATAACATCAAAGTTAATATAACAAACAATAATTTTTGCATTGCAAAAAACAAATCACATCTCATTTGACGTACAGTAAGCTCCAGGATAACAGTTGAATACACTCTACTGTTACTAAAATAATTTTCAAATTTAAGTTCATCTAGCAACGAAAAAAAAAGTTTGGTACGACTATTCTTAACCACTCAGAAACATTTTACTCAAAACTTCGAAATACTGAGATATAGTTATCAGTGAAGGTTGAAAAAAAATTGCACAAACATTTTTTCGTGAATAAAGAGCGCTAAAAGATATATTCATGATTTCAGCCCTATAGGTATTAATTTGGCGAAATTAATGTCTACAAAGGCGCCGAAACAGTATTCAAAGAACAGTTTTTTTTATATCCAAACATGTTTTCCATTTCTTCAAATGTCTGTGTTCAACATGGAACCTACTATTTGTAAATATTTTATTCAACGTTATTCAAGGTTAAATCCTGCTAATAGTTATGGTCATCAATGGATGGTAACATCAAACAAGTTCACGGACTAGGTGAGTACACATTAGTACGCATCTTTGGTCTGATATCCAAAGAGGAAACAAACATATGTTGTCAGAAAACTAAGCATATGCAAACATTTCTTTAGTGAAAACACACCAAGTTCACAGTGCTTCAAAAATATGTTGGGGAACGAGCATCAAACACGTTCACGGACCACATGGCAATGGTTAAAATCACGACATAACCGAACATAAAGAGAAACTGAAGAGGAAGGTATCAACAAATATATTAACAAATGCGATCAAGTAAAACCAACGAATGAATTCCCAAGTGGAAGTGAAATATTCCTGGTCTCGAGACTGCAGTGACTGTCGAGTCTCGGAAAGCTGTCACGAAGTTAAAGTAATCTAAAATTGACAGAGACTTTTAATCCAGATTTTGTCTTAAGTGGGCGCTTAAGGTGTAATGCAATGCGACAAAGGAGCAAAGACATGTTTTATTCAAATGTGACGTACTAGATCAGGAGGTAGCAAGGAGTGGACAGCTCAAAGGAATTACATAAACGAGGTTTTTGGAATGGTTATCACTAAAAGTGGTAGTAAATGATGCAATCATCCTATGCAGTTGCAGTATTTCACAAAAACTGGTAATGGACAAGAGTGTCAAGATTCTCAAGTAGCAAAAAGAGGATATAAAAAGTGATGTCAAAAATTTTGCTGATAATGTCGATCCCCATACAATATTTACACTAACTTAAGCTGCAAGACGATGCAACAAAAGGACAGATACAGCTCGTGACAAACAAATCTTCCACAAAAGACTCGCTCACTGCAAAAGATTCATGCTGTTTGTGTAATCTATGATTCAGTAAGGTGACCGAGAGTAGGTGATTGAAGGTTATTTTTTTTTCTCTTAGATACCAGCTAGATAACAAAATATATCCCTAGACGACAAGTCTATGTTCCTGATTATCATAACTTCTAATGATGCTATTCTTCTTCATTTTATTAATACTCTAATCAGTTGGCTCGGTTATGTATTCTTTCTATTAGCTAAAGAGTACCTATTGTTTCAATACTGACTAAACGACTTGCTGAAAGACTGGACGTCCAAGCCAAAAAAAATATTTCGTGAGAGTGAATGTTTACTAGAAGCTACTTTAGGATTTCTTGTCCTGTTCCTGTTAGCAACGTATAGCTTGCGAGTATTTCCTGAAGCTTACCGCATTTATGAGTTTCTGTCCTGAAATGTACAAAGCCAATGAAGCTATCTTTGCAATTTCTTTTCGTTACTACAGCTACTATTTTTTCTGTATCATATGTACTCGTACCCGTAATCGTCGTCGTAATCTTCTGGTGTGCAAAAGAAAAATTCGATTAAGTTCAGTATGGGACCTCTGGAAAAAGGGTTGAGATATTTTCCACGTTTGTCCCTCAGGTAGGGGTAGCGTTTATAGTTAAACATTTCATTGGTTGTCAGATTCATACAAGCATGTAGTATCTGAAAATGAAAGAGTTTTTCATCAAATTATGCAAGTGAACAGTCCTATGTCAATGTTATCATGAATTCCATAAAAATGAAAAATTAAATGCTAATAATATTCTTTTTTGCATTGAGGGCCGTCTGGTGTATTGAAATATTGCTATACTATTAATGACTGTCATGCAGGTTGCCAAAAAATGAAACAGGATTCATTCGATATTGAATACGAGTAGGAGATAAGAAAAGACTGATGGATAGACTCTTGAAAAATTGTTCGTTGACGTCTGAATTTACTGTGTTGCTGACCCTTCAAATAAGTTTTCAAGAGGCATTTTGTTAGGGGCTGTCGGTTGGTTTTTTATTGGTTGACTGTTGACAGTTTTATCCCAAATATGAATTAAATTATAACTTCAGTTTCATGAGGTTCATTGACATGTTCAATGACAATATTCGGTCTTCTTGAAACAAGAAGATGAACATGTTCAATAAAATCGAAAAGTTTTTATAAAATTTCAAAGATTGCGAATTGAATCTAACGAATGAAGTGTGCCAAGTTTTGGTTTTTTCAAGTTCTGGGGTTTAACTATTTAATTGGGAAAACGAAAACGAAACGAAAAGTGCAATAATGAAAAAAGTTTTCGGAATGTTTTCATCTGCAGACGATGGTTACTTTTCCATTTTTCAAATCGTATAAGTATAATCAGATACAATTGTCCCCTATTCAATTTCAAAATGTACATCTCTGTTTTGCATCTAGAGATGATGAGGAAGCGGTGAATTTGATGCAATATTAGTGTGCCCGGCCAGAAGTCCTGAGTTCGAATCCATCTTCGATTATCCATTTTTCTCTCGCACGAATATATCTAGTTGAAGATAAATCGATTCTGATCTGATACATGGCTAATGAGACTTTAGTTATGAAGCTTCCTGATAGGTGGCTCGGGGAAGTATTAACATGGAAAATCCAAAACCCAAGGCTAATGACCATAGTGTATCCCCAAGTATATTGATTCCAATTCAGTTTGTTACTTGAATAAAAATAGTGCCCCACCCAGAGTCAGATGAGGTAGCTATATATTGGCAGCCTAGGTGGCAGCCATTCAGTATTTAGTTTTACAAAATCGTTCAAGAACAAACTAACCTATCGTGAAAATCTCAAACAATTAGTAGCAACGCAATTCAATTACACACAATCGATCGAGAAAAGAACTGAAGAACTGCTTCAACAAAGATTCGGCTCAGAAAAATTAAAGGGATACTCATTGGATAGTGTCCATTCAAAGAACACCAGAACAAAATAGGGCTACTCAATAGAGCAATGTAACGAAGGGGCAAAGACAACTCGTCAGTTTTTATGCGAATGCGAGACACCGCGAATCAAATCCAATGGGAATCGCTACTTTCGCACAGACACCGCTTTTAGAGTGCCTTACGGATTTTTTTGTAGTGCTTGTGTTTTGTCCTTAAAAAAAGAACAATATACCCTGTCGGGTGAGGTATAACCCGTGGAATTATATGTATTTGTGCCAAACGGAACCTTCTAGATAACAGGTGCTCTCTCAAAAGTCTTTGGTATGGAACTAGGATAAAAATTGGGTGAATAAGAAACATAGAGAGTACGGGACCGTCAGAGAAAAGAACTGAAGAACTGCTTCAACAAAGGATCGGCTCAGAAAAATTAAAGGGATACTCATTGGATAGTGCCCATTCAAAGAACACCAGAACAAAATAGGACTACTCAATAGAGCAATGTAACGAAGGAGCAAAGTCAACTCATCAGTTTTTATGGGAATGCGAGACACCGCCAATCAAATCCAATGTGAATCGCTACTTTTGCACAGACACCGCTTTTAGAGCGCCTTACGGATTTTCTTGTAGTGCTTGTGTTTTGTCTTTGAAAAAAGAACAATATACCCTGTCGGGTGAGGTATCACCCGTGGAATTATATGTATTTGTGCCAAACGGAACCTTCTAGATAACAGGTGCTCTCACGTCGTAGAGAACACTGTCAGGGTAATGCGAAGCTCTGTCGTGATTGACCTCTTTTCCCCAGCTACTTGTGGACCCTTTTATGAATCATGAAGTAATCGAAGAATCGACCTTAAGTTTACGTGGATGTCGACTTAACGACCCCCACTGCCTTCCCTGCAACATTAGATCAAGAGCAAGAGCTTCCCAGTTTTCCTACTCTTGATTTTTGTGTCAATCCAAGTGGAGCTTGGAAGTGCAGCAAAGAAGCAATTTTATTGCCTCTTCGAGAGCAGAATATTTTTGTAAATCTGCCGTGTACCAAATTCTTGAGCAGCAAAAGCAGATTCTGCACCAGGAAAGGAAATGAAATCCTTCTGATTATGTAAAGCAAATTATTTTTATGTGGAAAGGTTGCTATGGTCGTCATCGTCAATAGCGACCCGTCAACTGAAATATCTTCAGTATGCCATTATAACTGCCGCAAATGATTTTCCAGAAAAAGATTCACATGCACGACTCCGAAATTGCACAATCAGCCTAGTTGGCTAAAGGTTGCCTAGAATGATAAGGAGAGCATCTCCTAGTTGACGAAAGTAATCGCAGAGCACATACTCTGTGTTTGCTTAGCCATATATAGGAACAGGCTCTTAGCTTTTGGCAGAGTCCCACTCTTACCAGCTAATTGAGAGATCACTCATCAAATGAAGTAATCAGCTTTGATAAGAACATTAATTTACTTGGTTGAGTTTGAATAGGTTTGAACTACAATAAAACCTGGTGGTATGCAGAATAGACCCGCTCACTTTGGACTTAGCCCTACCTACCTAAATATCCAAATTATGTCCAGAAGTGAATGACAACATTCAACAAAGGACCTGTACAATCTAGTGCAGGCACTTGGTGGAATGAATGTCATGAAAAGATATGTGGAAAACTCACAATAAATGAAGCTGCTTAATTTTTCGCAGACTTGAAAAAAATAGACAAGCAGCAAAAAAGCAATTTGTTATTCAAAATCCTGCAGTAGTGATGTAATACTTCATGATAGGGAAGTCCCCACACAAAGTGACCTTAACAATAAGTGGTTGAAGCTTTCAAAATGTGATTTTTTCATATTTTTTCAAGACAGAAATAAGTATGATTGAATTTAATTAGTTTGTACTTCCATTGTCTAATATGATAGATATAAAATGATTTCAAATCCCTTTCAGGGATTTCAATTCACAATGAAACATTGTCAACCACCTTCAAACAATAATTATCAATCATTTTCATGCTTATGATGCATTGTTTGGAACCTTTGGTGTAGTAATGAATATTACTGGAGTTTTTTCCCAACACCAAATCGTTATTTTTAACACCTCGACACGTGTTTCGATCACCAAGTGATCATCTTCAAAGAGGAAAATTCAAAGAGGAAGTTTTAATCTTCCTCTTTGAAGATGATCACTTGGTGATCGAAACAGGTGTCGAGGTATTAAAAATAACGATTTTGGGTTGGGAAAAAAAACTCCAGTGATATTCATTTTCATGCTGCCAAATTTTTATGGTTGGCAAGGAGTTTTGTACGGTGTGCAATTTCTTATCTTACTCCCCTTATCAATGTACAACTATGAACTTGTGGTGGAAATCCAAGCTGTCAAAAGATATTGAACTTTATTAAGGGAATATATCAAAAATGGAAAAAGATGTGGACATCTATCTTGTTATTGTGACGATGATTTGAATAATGACTGAAGACAGAACTGTTAGGAGACTGAATATACCATAATGAACTGATCTATAGGTATTGTCTACTAAAAAATTATAAAGACGATTATATTGATAGATACCAGACTGTAACAACAAACAATAAATTAATCGACAAATGTTAGAGGTTTACACTTCAATTGCCTGAAAAACAGATTTGAAATATATAAAAAGAACAAAATGAATGAAATATTCAGATTAGTTAGTTGAATAAAGAGAATAAAAAACAACAAATAAAAAAATTAGAGTAATTGAAATATGCAAAAATATTATAATGCAAATAAATGAAAACAAATTATTGTGTTCTGAAATGAAAATAAATCAATGAATATGTGAAGAATCAGTTACTCATCAATAGTAAGAAGCAGTGACAAGTCTTGATAATGCAATTTGAGATGATGGAGAAACATCGACCTTTGAAGAAGACAAACGGATGAAAGACTTAATTTCTTCTAATACAACAAGATTTATCAATAATTTTGTCCATGACTCAATCATCTTATAAACAGCCGATATGTGGGATAAACTACTATTGAAAATATGTTATCTCAGAAAAACCAAATTTGTTTCATTTACTGACTAGGCTGACCAGGCGAACTTTCACCTTAGAATGAATAAACATGGTGTTATTAGCGGAGTTATATTGATTTTTTCATACTTTGTTTTGGAAGTACGAATTAGGGTCATACTAACATGGCTGGTGCTACCAGATCATTTTCATGTTCAGCGGTAGATTTTGTATAAGAAAAATACTAGATTGATACAAAAACTAGTAGATTTCAACTCTAAAACCGTAGCTCGAGAGCCAGAACAGTAGACCTGGCAAAACTGAACACAAACCGAAAGTCATGAATTATAAATGCTATAACTAACGCAATTTTGCAACTTTGTTTTATATATTAGATGAGGTCAATCTCAACTTTCATATTTTTCAATGAAATAACTTGGAGTAACAGTGATCTGCATGTATGATTGAGTATTAAATTTGAGGCCTCTTAAGTAACTTTTTATCACGATATTCTCCACAAACCGATTTGAAAACCATTTTTCCAGATGGAAAATCTATGCATCCATGATACTTACCGACGTACAGGTGAGAATCCAACCCAGTCCAGAGAACACAAAAGCCTCAATCAGCCCCAGCACGTACAAAATCCCGAATCCCTCTATCGCGATGCAATACATCGCAAAATAAATAGTGAAGGAACAATTCACGGCAATACTCATGACGAACAAAAAAAACCAAGTTCTGTTCCTCAGTCCCACACAGTTATAGATGAAAGGGCAGTGGTGGTCGAAGTAAGACACGCATCTGTTGCAAATCCTGCAATGTTTTGCTCTCAGAGGCCTCAGGCACCTGCAGGTGTGGCACAAACGATTCAGGATGGCGTTCCGCTTTTTCCATTTGTCGAACATGGGTATTTGCTTGATCGACCGATGGTACGATTCCGAGTTCATGGGTATATAGCCGGGGTTTTTTCGATTAGCTACTATCCAGCAAACCCACATCACGATATTCCAGTAGATGAAGCAGTAGTGGGATCTGCGAAGAATGTTCCAGGTTATGGGGATACACTGAAAACGGAGTGATATCTGTAATTATTATCACGTAGAAGTAGTCAATGAATGCAAACAAACAATCCGATTATTACTTAAACTAATTATGCTCAATTGTAAATGTTTTATATTTCTTTCTCTTCACTTTTTTATTCAATCAAAAACATATTTCGAATTTTGATGTCAAGTTTTGTCTTTCCACCATTAAATCATCAAATAGCGATATGGGATGAACAGAAAACTCAAATCACGAATTCTGAAAATAAGGGGGATATCGAATCTGGACCCTAGCGACGGCAAGCTTCGACATACATGTATGTATTGTCAGCTTTGCTGACACTTCGCCTATTCACTTCATAATTTTTTTGTATATTATCATCATTATTTTATTTATTTTAATTTTTTTCGGGAAAACGCGCCAGCATTACCAACTAACGACCACTCCTTACACCGTTTGGTAAGTGGTCATTGGGTCCGAGAATCATGTGCACTGAGTAAGCGCAGTGAACCAAGACTGACAGTCTTCTGTATTTGTCCGGCTAAGACTTCTGCCTCAGTGCGGCTAGCCGGAAAGATTTTCAAATTTGAAAGTAGAGAGGGCATCATTCCACCAAGGACCATCTTGACAGAGTGGTCTGGATAGAGTCTGCGGTAGTTCGAAAAGAAAATCTCGATATTTTATTCGTTTTTTCCTCCTCTTTTCGGACGATATTCGTCTCGCCAGGAGCTGAAAACTCCACGACAAATATCGTCTTGCTCTGGTGGTCGAGAAGGACTACATCAGGTTTATTAGCTTGTATGATCCTGAGGGTGGGGAACGGGGAGTTCCAATAAATTCAACACTTATCGTTCCCCACAACGGATTTAATATCCACCCGAGCGTAGGGCAACACCGGTGTGAATACCGTATCGTAGATGGTAATAAAGCACTCTTAAGGCCACATTATGTCGATGAGTATAGGCCGAGACCGCATATGCTAGACATGCTGGCAGCAAGTGAATTATAGAGTCACAGGCGCCTTCCCACAGACCCTGCACCTTGTGGCAGGAACCTCAATACCCATCACGCGACTGCGGTAGACTCAGGTGTTGAAGACACCATCCTGGCAGGCCATGATAAACCCCTCAGCTTCCGACTTGAGAAAAGCGAAGGTAAGGCGCTTTGATAAGCCAAGGTCTTCAATGTTATTGAAGATTACCCCATACATTAGCTTATCCTTGTGCTGCGGCTACATTGATTCATTTTCATTAAAAATCTCTGAAGTAAATTAAATTTATTAACTTCAGATTAAATGTAATCTAACCTAAAGTGTTTTTGAAGCAAATCACAAAATACCCTAAGGTATCAAATCTCTAGGACTTTTTGGCAATGGTCGAAAAGGATAGAAAATATTTTTCAGAAAAAACTTTTAGTTCCCCATGTGAGATAACTCTAAAGATCGCTAGTTGCCCTTTTTCAAGATATATTATTATTAGATAGATATAATAGATAGATATAATTAAAAACATACCAAATATCATAATGACCTGTCACTCATAAACTTATTCAATGATGACTTAAATTGGTTTATTGAATTAAATTCTTTTACAAATTGTGGTAGTTTATTAAATGCGTTTAAGCCTTTATGAAATATACTATTCATTCCAAATTTAGTGTTAGTTTTATTATTGTAAAAATTGTTATTTCTTCTCGTAGTGTAATCATGAACTTCATTACTTCTCAGTAAGAATTTTTCAAAGTAATTGGGTAGCAATCCTTTATACAGATCGTAGTCATAAATAATTAATATACGTTCTTCAACTGAAAATCACTTTAGACAATGTAACATCAATATAATTGCTGTGTAACGGCTACATCCCAATATTAATCACATACCCCGATTTTAAAGCTTTTGCAATTGCGCTATTTTATTTTTTACCAAGAAGAAAAAGTAATGCTGTACAATAATCAAAATGAGGTTAGACTTTTCAAAAAAGTCAGCCTTGACACTTTTTCTTCAAAGTTAGAGTTACTTTCAACAAGGGATATACCTAATACCTGCATTTAGACTTTGGCGGTGAGCTCAAAAAATATTTTTTTATGGTAACTTTATTCACAATGGGGATAATGTAAATTTTGGAATTCATAACTCAGGTCTTAGATTCAAGGTTTCTTCAACGGTAATTTTGAATCTAAACGACCAAATCCAGAGCAGGCACTGTTCCCAAACACCAGAATTTCACCAATCAAGTTGACGTCTTCAAGTTTCATTAACAACCATATTATCTGTACAAATCATTCAGAATATTGCCAAATGTGATATTTACTTACTCTGATGACGTACATAGGGTATCCCCACAATAAAACCGAACTCATGAAGAATATCAGAGGAGCCTTCGAATTCCCAGCTTTCCCAAAAAGAAGGCCCCACACTTCGTTCAATGGCGGGAACCAACTGGATCGGCGTTTCTTTTCGGTTTCAAGCAGCTCAACTATTTCGTTGTGTCTGTGACTTTGGGCGAGCATTAGAGGAGTTTTATCATTTTTATCTAGAGGTTCTAGGTTTATATTGCTCTGGAATAAAAATGTGTTAATTTTCTCGTAAATGATTTCTTACAACTCACCTTCTCACATAATAATTTCACACAAATCAAGCTTCCTGAAAGGCACGCCAAATGTAAGGGGGTAGAACCAAAATGATCTGGCTTCTGGAGATTGGTCCCGGAGTACATCAGCAGCTTTATGAGATCAGAATGGCCTTTATAGGTAGCCCAGTGTAGTGCAGTATCGCCATTGATGTCCATGAGGCCGTTGGAGGCACCCATTCCTAATAAAAATGCGGCAGTGGCAGTTCTACCAAACATACAGGCGGTCATCAAGGGTGTCAGGCCTTTGAAGTCTGCTGCATTGACTGCAACTCCAGCTTGCAAGAGAACCTGGACTAGTGCAGTGTGACCTACAAAAATATGCAGTGATATAGTGTGAATAATGTGCAATATGTGATGATATTCTTTAATGAGAAGAGTATCTAACAGAATGGAGGATCTCCTTTACTTTGTCATTAGTTGAGAAGTTTCAGATATACACCCATGAATAATATTTAAGAACTGAACGAATTTGAGTTTTATAATTTATCAAACAGAAAAAAAGACTTGGTTTTTACAAAGCTACATCAGTGATATTTCTAGCACGTCCCTTCCCATATTGATGTTGCGTTACAAGCAATTCTGCGTTTTGCCAGCGTTAAGTTCCCCAAAATAAATTGATTCCCTCTCTAAGAACTTCTTATAGGCTGTCAATAGCCAAAGTTCAATGTGGCAATACTATTTCGGTGACATTTCCATGAGGGATGATCATTTTATAGAATATCGAAGCCTAGTAATATCAGACATTCTTGCAGCAGGCAATTGCTGATGAAAGAACAGCTCTAGGTTTTAAAATCGTTGAACTCCTCGATGGACAACATCTTTATCTCCTCCCGACCACTAAAATAACATAAATTAAAAGGAGGAGTTCTAATTTTGATAAAGTCCTGGGTGAGAAACTACTTGGAAAAATAAATAATTCACATTTTTTCAAAACAATCCTCGTCATAGATTGTCAGTCATACAATTTTACGTTCGTCAAAGATAATTTTTGAAGTTGAGTTACTTGGTTTATGCTCATGCTCGAAGCTCGTTGTGCTTTTTTGAAAGGAATGTTCAAGTATTCACAGAAAATAAGTAGTGTGTTTTGAGTTTTAGTGAGCAGTAATGTAATGAGAACCTCTTTCACCCACTTCTCATAGTCCATGGCTATCAGACAATTTTTACTAAGTATTCATTATCAAAAAGAGAAGATTTTAATGAAAATTAACTTTTTGGCAAATAATTTTATAATGAACCAAAGAGTTCATTTTTTTATAGTTCTGAATATATTGAAAAACGTTTCATGACAATTTGACTTCGAATAAAACGGGTCTACTGGGATTTGCCATGATAAAATAAAAGTCTAAAAAGATCCATAGCTCTGGATAATAATCAGTCAAGTGTATATAATCGAATGATTTTTACGATGAAGGCTTCATGCAAATTATGCCTTCTGTAGTTAGTATTTAAATTGAGTCATATTAGTGACAGTTCGTAATAGCTGAAAAAATCCTAAAAATAATTATACATAGACAATTTTTTTCATTGAGGCAACTTCTCTTGAATCTACTAATGTTTAAAATAATTTCAAATCAACTGTACTTTTGAACATTCTGACGAATTGTTCTCCAAACAATTTTTTTTTTAAATTGAAACTGACAAAAACTGAAAAAAGAAGAAATGTAGAAACTTAGCGGAGGTTTTTGGTTTTGGGAAAAAATGCGTTCGGTACATACTGAGATGATATATTTTTAAAGATATTGTTTTTGCTTATTATAGTTCTTAGAATGCCTAAAAGGACATAAGAATACTTTGGAAAGTAAATAATACTGAATTATAAGACACAACTTTTGATTTCATATCTATTGAAATATTATATCACTGACTAATATGAGGTTCGTATGATTATGGATGTCAAAATTATTAAGAACCTGTCACTTTCCAGCATATGTGCTGTAATGTGGCGTAATTTGCGCTGATCAGGCCCCATCCCCCGAAGCCCCGATACATTCAGGAGGGCGCGCCAGCATTATTAACCAACGACCACTCCCCGCCCCGTGGGGTAAGTGGTCATTGGGTCCGAGACTCATGTGCCCTGAGTAAGCGCAGTTAGCCAAGATTGATAGCCGTCTGCATCTGTCCGGCCAAGATTTCTGCCATAGTGCGGCAAGCCGGTATGATTTTAAGATTCTACAGTAAAGAGGGCATCATTCCACCAAGGACTCAAATAATGAGAACAACTATCTTGACAGGATGGTCTGAATAGAGTCTGCGGAGTTCAAAGACAAAAATCTTGATGATTTATCCGTTTTTCCTCCTCTTTTCGAGGAGGACTTCTCTGGTCGAGAAGGACTACATCAGGCTTATTAGCTTGTATGAGCCTGAGGGTGAGGAACGAATAGTTCCAATAAATTCGGCACTTCTCATTTCCTACAACGGATTCAATATCCCCCGGAGCGTAGTGCAACACCGGTGTTTTGTCAATACCGTAATAGTGCCGTAGATGGTAATATAGCACTCTTAGAACCGCGTTATATCGATGGATATAAGCCGAGACCACATATGCCGGACATGCTGATAGCAAGTGCATTAGGGTCCCGGGCGCCTCGCACAGGCCCTGCACCTCTATACCCATCACGCGACTACGATAGACTAAGGTGTTGAAGACACCATCCTGGCAAGTCATGATGAACCCCTCAGTTTCCGACTCCAGCCCACTCAACCTGAGGAAAGCGAAATTCAGGTGCTTTATTGATAAGCGATTATTATTATTGTGCAACGAAATTGTAAAATTCTGAATAAAGTGACTACCGGTCCATTCAATAAAGTACTCTTATTCAATAAATTTACAAAATGCCTGTAGAGGAAGTTTTGCTTTCCTATCAGATGATTTTATGTCTCAGCACAAAGGCTCCATAAAAAATTACATTTTTATTAAATCAAACACATCAATTCGCCAAATTACAAAATATATATANAAATAGATGAACACTTCAATCTAGCAGACCGCTATTATAATATTCATGCAGTCATTGTTCACTGTGGTTCTGGCGTTGAATCTGGTCATTATTACATCTTGGTCAAAATCGAAACGAACTGGTAGTATCTTCAGTGGTGAACCTTATTTTGAGATATAAAAGCCCCCTCGAAGTAAAGTAGTATCAATCCTAACTCCATTATTGACCGAATTTATGCAAAATAGAATTGCCTCATTATTTCCAACGAAATGTGTTATAATAACTTCATTACCTAACACACTTTGCTCAATTTTGAATACATTATGATGTTCATATCCAGAACTACTACAAAAAACTTAATAGTTTCTCTAAACTTAATCGAATTTTCATCGAAGTGTAAGTATATAGATCATTATCGTTAACTAGATTTTTTTGTAAAAAAAACGAGAATGACACGCTTTCTCGACATTTAATAAGATATCGTTATCACTGCAGTGATTTTTCAAGTCAGATTTGGGGCGATTCCTTATCGCGAAATTTAAAATAAAAAGAACTTGCTAGTGTAGATGATATACCTATAGCAATGGTCCCAAAATACTTCCCTGAGGAGCATCCTGACTCATTACATAATAAAATCCTACGTTTTCCTAGCTGGCTTTGACTATTGTGCTAATGTGTTACACTATTATAGTTCTTACCCCGATTTAACGAGATCGAAGATGGTTTTGAGCGATTGCTCAGTAATGTCAGCTTCGTTGCCATCTTTATCGTGGTTGGCGGAGGCGGCGGGATGGTCCGTGTCGGCCACCATGTTGCAGGCGGCCGTCTGAGGGAGTGCCCATACACTGCGGGCGATGCCCGGACTGGGAAACACTTTGCACAGCGTTCTGACGACTTCTGACACTTCTTTTACTTGAATTGCGTTTATGATGAATCCGTAATGCAGATGTATTCGCGGTTCAGACTCAGAATACTTTTAATTTGCGTGCACAGGGGTGAACGTATCGATTAAGATGAGGTTTCTGTTGACCTGCGCGGGATGCCTAACATGGTTAACTGGCCAAAAATGCAAGAACCTAATAGTCTTCAATACGTCGAAAGCCCCTTCAAATACGTTGACGTACATTTGGTGGCACCATCATAACTTGATTGATATGGTTAAAAAAATTATTAATGGGTTGCTTATCACTGAAAGATAATAATGTTTGACGCAAAAAACTCACTTCTGAAAAAGTATACTTGTCATTATTCGTTTTACATGTTTTATTAAGACAAGAATGTAAAGAAAGACAAATTTCATAGGTACCTACTGTATTTTTCATTCAATAGGTAAACAGGGCATGTGGAAATTGTGAAATTGTACGAAATTTAAATCAGTAATTGGATTCAAAATTTTTAATAAATTATGAGCTTAAAGTACAAATCACCATATTGAAATTACATTTTTTTTAAACGGCATAAAAATAGTTTGTATGTTTCTAATTGACCCATTTTCTTTTATGGTTTCATAGTTGGCACAGAGCTCATATTTGAAGTAGATGTTTCACGTCTGGTAGGTACACTTTTTAATTTTTTGTCATCACTAATTATTCTGGCATTCATGTTGAATCAGTCTGTTCCTTTCAGTGTTACTATCTTCATTAGGGTTTAAGGGCCGTCGTAGTTTGAAACTGCATCCTAACATTTCGCCAGCATAAGTGGCTGGCTCTCCAGAGGTTTATTCATCTTGATAATTCACCGATGACTGTTGAATCATCAATACTACATCAAACCCGAATAAAGATAGTAACACTCAAAATCTCGGCCGCGAAAGTCTTAACCAATTTATCAATCTGTTCCTTTGCCGCAACTTCTTTCAGATCTCCTCGGCATTATCAGGCCATTCTCTTAGGTTTATTCATGACCGGAGCGCGGACAAGCTATTGATATGAATGTTGATCTGTTCATTTCTTGTTATTGCCAAACAAGGTTCCAGAACAAAATCCGATCTGTGGACATCTCAACACGAACTTTTACCATTACTGCTACTGCCTACCATTACTGCATAATGGTCGTGTGTACCAATCATCTACATACATTCTAGATTTTCAAAGATCATTACGAAGATGCCATTTATAGGATCGACAAAAGACTTATTCCACGAATTTCAAAGATAAACGAGAACTCCCAAGGCGAACAATTGCAGAGCCGAAAATTGACATCGACCGCCAAAGAGAGACGTTCTCTTTCTTACCCTGCAGCTTCCGCTTCAAGGAAACTAATCCCTACTTACTCAGGATTATCTTTTAAGATCGATTGAATCTGGCAATGTATTTGTGATCAGCCTAGTACGACTGATGAGACCTAAGACAAGCCGAAACAACGTTGTCTGTTGATGGATCAAGATAGCGTTGTGTTTGGGCTCTGTTTTCAACAAGTGGTCATTAGTTTGGAGTAACAATAACCAAGTAGCGATCAGAGCTCCTATAATTTCGCAATTTGTCTTGGCACCATCACGTTGCTGAAATAAAAAAGGGGGTTTTTCTGAACGCTGTTTCCAACTATAAAGTTGTATACACCTCCACAACTTTTAATTATTCATAAATCGATAACACCTTGTTGATTATCTACAGGTGCTGTGTAATAGGACAAATGATAAACTGTCAGTAATGATGACAAACTCTTCTCGAGCAAAATGAGAGAAAAAGGGGGCATGGATCCACTGGCTCCATTCAGCAATAGAGGAGAGTGAATTGAATTTGATTTACAAAATAAGTCGTCTTTCAATATTGTTTGATTCCAAGTTTACTGTTATTACTTGGTTTACGTTAGGTTCACCAGGTTTTTCATGTCTTTCTTGATAATTGAAGTAGCTATATTGCTACGAAAACCATATGATTCAATTTATCTTGGTATGCAAAATATGACATATTGTTTACTGTCCTCTTGCAAAAACTAATTGGTTCATATTTTTGTGTTTTTCAAAAATTAACAGACATACCTTTTGACAATCAACCGCCAATTGTCACTCTCGCCGCAACAAAATCTTTGGTTAGTATTTTAACGTTTGATTCACCAGTTTTCAGGAAACAGTGATTCATATTCAACCAGTTTTTCAGTAGAACCACAATAGTGATTTTAGAACCATCAAACCACATTTCTGGTTACTTTAGGAACGCATCTTTGACATGTCCAATGATTGACACATGACAGTTGTCTTTTGTTACTCTGAGGATGACAGTCAGATACAGCACTGTTTCGTAATACTGTATCTATATTGAACAATGGAATACACAAAAGTGTCAAATGAGATTCCTACGTTTAAGAATATGAAATACCTTTTACTAGATACCTCTTTCTTTTTAAGATTTTCAAGGAAATAGAGCGTGAAATGAAGCGAAATAATGACTGCTAAAGAGTTGTACTTCAATTTTTTTATGTGATTCGGTATTTTTTTTAATATTCAGATTTTTGCGATGGGAAGTTTTTAAATATAGGTGTAGAACAAATATTATTTGTAATTTTAATTCATATCACATTCATATTTTCATTACATTTCAAAACAATTTATATGTACCTGATTACTATTTCAATTAGTTTGAAAAATACATTTCATACTTCATATGTTTGTTATACATATGAGTTATCATCGATGTTTTCACCAGAATTCATAGTTATTGATTTTTGTGTACAAAGTAAATATGTTTCTTTAGTTATTTTATATTTTCTGTTAATCGATAGAGTATAAAGTAGGTACACATTTATTTTATTTATGTATTAAAAAAAATGTTTTATTCAAATTTTGGTGTATTTTGTGCAATTTCCATTCACACCATGGCAACACTAGTTTCATTCTTGTCAATCAGATAGCTTTTGTAGCTTTCGGTGGTTGGGTAGGTTAAGATATTTTTTATCTAAAATGCTAATGTTGAAAAATATCAAACACTGGGGCTTAAAATGAATAAATAATAATAAATTTCAGAACAATCAATTATTGCCATTCCCAAATTCGTTAATTTAAATGGAATTTCAAGGCAATGTTCAATTGAGAGAAATGAAAAATAAAAATTTAATAATTTTTCGAGATCATATCTTTATTTCTATCGATATCAATGCAAGTAAATAAAACAATACTGATAAAGCCATTCTCTTTCAACAACAAACAGTTATTTGAGAGCGTCTTATTTTTCTAGGTCATTCAACCAAGATAAAAAAATCAGATCATAAGGTTTTTCAATGTACTTTACAGTGGATCAGTGTTCATTGTGATCAGCGACTTTATTTTTCAGGTGTCATCGCTTAAAAAGGATATTAGTGTCACTGAAAAAGTTTGTAATTCATTAGAAATGCGTCTAGTTATTTTAGAAACTTCTGATGCAGTATCTGAATGGGCTGCAAAATATGTAATGAAAAGAATTAATGACTTCAAACCAGGACCGGATAAGTACTTTGTTTTAGGTTTACCCACAGGTATGTTTATAATACAAAAGAAATCTACAGAGTATGTTTATCTCAACATATTTGATCAGCTGAAAAACAGTATTGAGAATAAAGCTGTCTTCCTTTAAAGTTATGATTAATTTATAGAAACAGTATATGGTCTGTGAACAGTATCAATCATCTTTTTATTGAGATTGAAGCTGTTGATATAAACCAATTTAATGTCTAGAATACTCTTTTTTGGTTTTCTGCTTCTTCATATAGGCAATTGTCAATATAGTTGGAATGATCCTGTACTTAAAAAGAAATATTTATGGCCAAACAATAGCGGAAAACTATTGCATTTCACTTAGAATACAGTCTTCTTTATAAGAGACTTGAATAGATCTTTCAATAAGCAAAACTGTTACATATTTGATAAAACAATGTAACTGAATGTAGTTTTATGTTTTCTTAAAAATGTGTCTCTGTAGGCATATTGTCATTTTAAATTCATTAAATGAAATCAGAGTACAATAATATTGCCAAAAAAATGACACACACACACACATGAAAATGTTTTTAAAACTATAAATATGCTATGAAAATTACAATTTTAACAGCAACAAGCAATTCATTTTTTTGCACAAAGTTTCATCTTGAAATATTTCAGATATCAAAAATTTTACATCCGTTTTGAAAGTCTTGGACAAAAAACATCATTTTGACAATCACCTTTATGTATTTCATGCAGTCCAGTTTAAACTATTGATAGGGCAATTCTACAATTATTCTTTTTCATTTATTAAGTTCTGCAGCATTTGCATGGGTACTTGTGACAGAAGGAAATAGTTATTTCAGTTTTCCTTCCTTTTTGTATTGGAAAGAAGCATCTGCCGAAATTCTGCAAAATTGAGTGGCAAAATTGGTGTTTTGAAAAATTAACTTTTGTTGTAACTTTGTGTAGTGTACTAAGTGAAAGATATTATTTAAGGGGGCACTCCATATGGCATGTACCAGAAACTCATAGAATATCACAAAGCTGGCAAAGTTTCATTTAAGTATGTGAAAACTTTCAATATGGACGAATATGTTAATTTGCCAAGAGACCATCCCGAGAGCTACCATTACTATATGTGGAATAACTTTTTCAAACACATTGACATTGATCCCAAAAACGCCCATATACTGGATGGAAATGCAGCTGACCTTGTAGAAGAATGCAATAATTTTGAACAAAAAATTTTAGATGCTGGAGGAGTGGAATTGTTTATAGGAGGTATTGTATCTTGGTGTATTTAGTGTTGGTCTGAATAAATGATAATATATGATCCTATACATACGATATTTTAAACAGATTTTAATGATTATGCTATTACATAAAATTCATTATGTTTAAGTTTTTTACTATTAAATATATAATGTATGTATATCGTGCCTGTAAAACATTGATGTGAATTTGTATTCTGTAATGTTTTTTGTAATAACACATGTTCTTATTCAACCTAATGTCATCTTTGGATGATCTGACTGAATAAATATTTTTGACAGCCTTCCGCATTTGTCTGGACTTGTGCCTTGATGCAGCAACCCAGTATGATCTTGAGATTCGAGATAGAGTTAAAAAACCAAGGACTCTGATAATCAGAACAACCATCTTGACAAGAGTGATCTGGATAGAGTCTGCAGAGTACGAATAGAAAAGCTTGATATTGTTTTTCCTCCTCTTTTCAGATGAACGTCTCATCAATAGCTGAAAACTCTGTGACGAAATTATTACTATTTTCATTAAAAATATTACTAGGTATACAAGTTTTCCTATTCAGCTTCTCTAAATGCCTGGAATGTCTTATATTTTATGTGCTCATTCAGTATAATTCTGATAGTTTCACTTTAAAAATCTTAACCACCTTGTTCAATATAAAATCCAAAGTTTGAACAATAGAACATTTTCAATGCGATTTATCTGATTTCTTCAATAGGTATTGGACCTGATGGCCATATAGCATTCAACGAACCAGGTTCATCTTTAGTATCTAGAACAAGAGTCAAAACTTTAGCCCAAGATACTTTAGAAGCTAATGCTAGATTTTTTGGAAATGACATAAAACAAGTTCCTAAGCAAGCCCTCACAGTAGGTGTTGGAACAGTAATGGATTCTAAAGAGGTTGGTAAAAGTATTTTTCATTCATACAATGTATATGTCATATTCATTCCATTTTTATTAAGACAAAGAATTTGTCAGAGGATCATCAACATTCAGATTCAAAGGATAAAATCAACATTGTTATCTGATAATATATTGTTTTTGAAGACAGTACTATTTGTCATAATATGGATATAACAAGCTATCAGTTATTGGGAAATATTAATAGCAAAGATCAAAGAAATTCCATTTATACTATCTTCTTTATGATATCAAGTAAGTAAATTATTTTCCTAGATTATTGCCACATATTCAAATAAAAAAAATTTATGAACTCTCAAATAAAATTTTAGCATTTTGACAATGTTATCGACATGAATGTGTATAACAGAATTCTTGATACAGTATTGAAGTTCAGAAATGAAGAAATATCAGACAGATCTTTTTTCTATTGTGTTTCAACAGTGACTTGAAAAAATTAGGTTAATGTTCATTTTTCTCAAAAAAAAAAAAAAATTCATCAACTTCTATTTTGCCTCCTTCAAAGTAGCTCCCCCTCAGATATAATACACTTGAGCCAGTGTTTGTTTACAATCCTCGTAGCAGTTCTGTTAAGCACTTTTTGGTATGTCCTTGAGCTCTCTCAGCAATTCAGTCTTAATCTCATCAATCGTCGTAAAAAAATGCTATCCTTTCATGTGTCTCTTCAAAGTTACTACATAATATTAAAATTTCATATAATTCTGATAATTTGTGAATTTTTACTAAGAAATGAAATATTTTCAATTAAAATTCAAAACATTTCCCTCTCCTACACATTAGTGTTGTTGGAAAACAATTACTTCTATGGCTGATACTACATCGGACACTGAATTTTTTATTTTCTTTCCATGTATGTATTCCTTCTTGACAATATCACCAGACTCATCTAGTTTCTGTTAGTTTTGGATACTTCTTCCTGCTTGGGGTTCATCACATGGAAATGTTTCTACTTCCCTAAAGTTGAAATCCTGGTGAAGCATCAATGAACTCATCAATTGCTAGACAATATTGATGTCTTGGTTAAGTCTGCCCTGCACTAACGAGGAATATTTTATCTTTTACTTCCCTACATTTTAGCTTAGTAACGTCAAAGTTAAAATATGGGTCCTTAATAAGGAACCCCATTTATAATCGTTATATATCAAATATTGAAAGACTCCAAAGAAGTTTTTGAAATACTTAAGTTTTTAAAAATTACTGACAGTATCCTCAAAAACATTGCAATCATATTGAACCATCGCGAACATTTGATCTTGTATCTCTTGAAAAAATAAGAAAATAGGCAACTTTTCTTTTTTTACATAAGTTGTTGAATGGTGGAATTGATTCACGGGAATTACTTTCTGTAATACATTTTCTTGTACCTAGATCAACATTTAGAAATAATACCATTTTTTTGTGCAAGAGTTCAAACCAATGTATAATGTATTGTTAAAATCACCAGTGAGTTTGATGTGCAGTATCTGAATCTGAATAAAATAGTGCTATAATTTGTATAATTGAATTGGTTAATTTTTGCTCTATAATCCGATTTTAATTTTCTTCAATGTATATTTCGCCGCAAAAAAAGCATAATATATCCTTGAATTCTTTAATTTTTTTTGGCTGTTAAGCATTTTTAGCGGTTTTTTTGTTTGTTTTGTAAGTCTCAGTAATAGCTTTAACAGTTTTCTTAGGAACATTTTTTCATTTATCATCCAGTGTTTGCTCTATAATGGAAAACTGTTGAGCAATGAACGCTATTATTGTTATTATTATTATTATTATTAATGGTATCAGCATAGTTGTGCTGTGTGTGATAGAACAGTGTTGACTGCTTAGATATGAAACTGCGATTTTAGTGAAGGTTTAAATTTTACATACTTATTTATACTTTCAATAAAACAAAGTTATAAACATAACTAAACATATAAATTCAATTTTAGGTAAGGTGGAATTACCTAAATTGGAAACCAACCCCTAAGAAATAGCTAATAATGTATTAAACTTCTTCCTTGTGAAAAAAAGTACATAGTGCATTCATATATTCAAAAACTGTTCAAAAAATCATTCAGTTGATGGTTATTTTTACATGATTGCATAAGAAATCAAATAAGTCTGATGAATATTTTGAGGAGAGTTGCATACTTACCAAAAAATAAATACTTCCAATTGAAATTCGAAACTTTCACCTGTTAGAGTGATAGGCAGAGTTAACAATATAATTAATAAATATAATTAATATGATTATTAAAAGTATATAATATGTATGTAATGATGTAATATGGTAACTTGAAAAAATGTATTGATTTGTAATTAATTGACAGGTTTAAAAATAAATTAAACTGACTGTTTATATTTTGCCTATACTTCATGTTTATGACACGTTACATTCATCGGCACCATGAAATTTCCCTATTCAACTGAACGCTATTAGTCATAAGAAAAGAAAATGATATTTTCCTGGTAATTTGGCAAAGGTAATTTTAATATTGATGTATCTGTTCTGTCTGTTTTTCCGTTAACCAGCCATCGCACCTCTACGAACGACGACCCTCAGAAGCCGAAACTTGTGCGAGCTAAGGATTAACGAGGTCTTACCTCTTAAAGTGTGATTCCTAACATACGTTAAAGACCTAAGACCTGTTTCATGTTTGAAATACCGAACATATACAAAAATCCCGCAATTCTAATTTGAAATTTGAAAATTTTCAGGTGATGATCCTCATAACTGGAACCCACAAATCTTTTGCTTTATATAAAGCAGTTGAAGAGGGTGTGAATCATATGTGGACAGTTTCAGCTTTCCAGCAACATCCCCATACTCTGATGGTTTGCGATGAAGATGCCACTTTGGAGTTGAGAGTCAAGACTGTAAAATATTTCAAGGTGTGTGAATCATATTATCCTTTCATAGAACTTCTGGACACGCAGACCAGAGTCGGTAATTGACTACTTTCACTTTGCTACTTCTGATTATAATGCAATTGAGTTATTCCTTTAATAAAAAAATGTATATTTCAGTTAATACATCTGTTGTTGGGACAAAAAACAAGTTAAAAAAAAAGAAATCGCTGAAATCGATGTTTGAAAGAGTTTCTCAAGAAAAAAAAAATGTTTTCAATTTGAATCATGGTATTCCATGGCTTGAGAAGTATCTTGATTGGTTCAGAATTTCCTTGAAAGGATTTTGAAGTTTAAAATGCAAGATAGTGAAAAATTAGTTTCAGTTTATGCTCCAAATACACATTTTCAAAGCTTTGGATCAATCTGAATATTGAAGAAACAAAGTAGAAATTACTACAATTGCACCGTATCTTCTCGGGAACTGTTTTGATCAAATATTCACACTGTGGTTGATAATAAAAATAATTATGTTAACAGCCTCAAAAACTGTTGATATACTGTTCAGTGAAGCAGCATATCATTTTTTATTATAATTTCTTCTAAGTTGCCTTAAAATATTTGCTTCATGAGTAATTGAAGTTTGACTTTTATCAATCTTTTTCAAATTATTTCCACACAAAGAGTTTGAAATAAGCTGAAACTATTTCGAGTTTTCTTATTATTCTACATATGGTTTTGCTTGGTTTTACTTTCTTTACTTCTGTATTGTTGGTGTTGGAGAAATAGCTTGAAAAACTTCTGAAACTAAAAATTATGATAATTGAACAATTTTCTCACCAAGTTCTTTACTCAACGTTTCACTACATTGTAGTTTCTTCAGTTGAACTGGTACATTAAACTATTCTACAATTCATTTTAAAAAGTAGTAGTTACATAACCTAGCTTTCAATGATCAATTCTTGGAAAACAGATTTGCTGGAATGCCTGGAAATCAACAATCGAAAACAATCAAATTCCCTATTAAATGAAGAAGTTAATCACTCACCCTTATTTAATTTGTTTTCTATGAAATTTTGCGAGTATTGATCGTTATTAACCTTTTTTTTTTGCTTACCCAGAATTAATGCTATATTGTAATTACGTTTTCGTAATATCTTTGTGTTTTCTTGTATTTGTTCATTAATATCCAATTACATTCTGTAACTACTGTTGTGAAAAATACATTGCAGAATAGTTTAATGTACCAGTTCAATTGAAGAAACTACTGTGTAGGGAAATGCGTCCTGACTCTGAAGTTCAAAGAATGAATAATATTTGATTATTGTTCATCGATAGTGCTATTAATTTTCATCAAATAACGGGTCAGTATATTCATAATACATACATTTGGTGTGGTTTGCTTGGTAATATTTTCTTAGATCCTAAAGTGATGGGCAACTATTGAAGGAGTTTAAAAATTTATTTGGGAAAAAAAGTTTTTGGCTTTCTACTACCCCATCTTGATAAAAAAAACATGTGGGAATCTTTCAAAGAAATGAAGGAAGAAATCAATTTCAACAGAAGTTACTCTATTCATAGATATGTAGATCCTGCAAAAAAGTAACTTTCAGACACAAACTGGAAGAAAAAGTCCTTCTGAAACAGCTACCTTCATATGAACATTGAATAACATGAAAGAAAAATTGTTTCCCAAGTACTTTTATATGAACACTGAATTACACAAAAAATACTTTTCTCCACTCTGTTTGTGTTCCAAACATTCGTTATGAAATTGAATCAGATATTATTCACAGGATTCCTACCCAATATATTAAATGATAGGTTAAAATTTCACTTACATGGAACACTGTCATTCTCTCTGGTAGACAACGATGTTTCACCATAAGACACTTGCCTTAGAGCTCTTCAGTACCAATATGGATAACATAATTACAACAAATTTGCCCTTTCTGAAGTACATTCAGCCTTTTCGTTTCAGTCGAATGCTTTACCCCAGAGTTCAACTTCTAAATCTGGAATATTTAGTCGATTCAATTCAATAAATTTCTTGTCTAACTTAGTAGCAATATGTAGAAAAATAACTTAAATTTTTATGGTTCATATAGTAGAAAAAGATAGTATTTGTAATTGATTTCGAAATCGAGTTTGAGATTTTTTATTCACCTGTTTATTTCATCTGTGATTGGATTCCAGGTACTTTCCCTGTATGAGGTTACTAGAATTGTTAAAAGTCAAAGAGAATTCACAAAAACCTTTCTCTAAAATATAATTTATGAAAAATATAAAGTCTAAAATCTATTTGAAATCTCCCCTGTGGAGGTAAAGTTCTGTGAATCTGCTATTAACCATTCGTCTTCTAGCCTCATAAGCTTAACATGAAACTGTAATTGTATTCACTTATTATCAATCACTTGTAATGGTTTGTTAATGTGATGATGAAAATTTTCAGTGAGTCAACAAAAAACATCACAAATTGTGCCAAATTTTTCAATCTCAGCTGCAGCCAGTTTTTTACTAAATTTATATTCTACTCTTGAAGAGTAAACTGAAGTATCATTCGTATTTAACCTATGAGTTGAATACAAATGTTAAAGAGAGTTAAAGCGATAATGGAATCACAGTTATCATCGCAATCAATTCTGCTTTTGGGTAAATGTTCTTGGTGGACAAAATTATTTGTCTGTTTAGAATTGCGCATAACTTATCTTTGGTCTGATTCCTTCTGTTATTCTTTGATTAGCTTTCTGTGGATCTTCATTGAGTGCAGATGGATTTGTCTTTCTTTCCATTCTTAGAGATTTGCCTATTTTCGATGTTGGGTATATAATATCAAAAATACAAACCAAAACAAAATTGATGAAAATTCATTTTCAGAACGTTGAATAATATTCATTTTGCTATAAGGCAAAACAAGTACAAGGCACTTATAAGCCAAATCTGTTACATTAACTACAAAATTTGGTTAGATAAAACATGACAAACATTATATAAATTCTGAATAATAGTTAGGTTTCAATTGTCCAGTTCTTAACAATTGAAACCTATTATTCAGAATATATATATAATAGATGAAGGAAATTGTTATCAACTAGGTGTCACATATGAAATTAATTAAGTTCATCATCATGAATCATTTATTTTTGAATCTGCAATGAATTTGTTACACCCATCTTCTTTCAAAGACCCCAAGACACTACGTAAATCCCTTAATAATTGGGAAATAAATTTTAAATGGCAATCTTCCTTTGAATTATTGCTTATCAATAGAAATACAAAACTTGACTGGGACTTCTCTGTGGGTAAGGTGGGTTAAATATTTTTTTATTGTGTGTGCTGATTAGGTTATCACATTTTTAAATGGCAACCCATATTCATATAGGTCAGTCATTTGTCAAAAAATTACTAGAAGTGCACCTTCATCGCCTGTCCTTGTCTCGAAAATACTGGATCTTTCCATGAACCTGTCTTTCCTCTAGCTAGAGTGTTTGCAAAAGAATTTCCATTATTTCTGGAAAAAAGAGGACAGAAGCGGGTTATTTATAGAAAAGTTCACATTTTTGTGATAACATCTCATTGTTTTTGAATAATTTCACATAGTAGATATCATCATATGCACAATCAACTTTAATAACTTCAATAGTGTTAGTAAGAGTTACTGAGAAATGCAATTCCTTCTGTATTCAAATATCCATTGTTGCTGTTATTGCATGGGTACGTCGGTAATATATTTATGAGTTTCACTCAATTTTTGGAGAAGGTAATAATTGGTTTTTAAAACAGGCTCTAAGTGACGTTCACCAGAAGCTCATAAAGGAGAATGAACCTATTGATAAATACAGGACCATTCATTGAAACATTCATTTACTTCTTTTTTTATTGGTAAGTGTATATTGGCACAATATCTAATTATTGTTGTAGAAAAATGTGTGTTCTTTAATTTGGCATATGAAAATGGTGGATTGAGAAACATTTCGAGTTTAACACGATTTTTTTCAACTTTTGTTTATTGTGATGAACTGAAAAACCAGATTTGAAATTACCAATGTTTAATAGTTATGTAAGCAATGCAATGTAACAAATCAACCTCTATGTTTTTGTTTCAGAATTTATTCGCTTTACACAATTTGCTGGTTGAGGACGCTTGATAAATCGCTGGGCGAATTATAAATTTTGCCACATATGAGAAATGAGTTGAAATATGAATCATTATTTACAAGATTTGATACTGATAACTATATTTTTTACAACATATGATTAAGTTGGCTAGAAGTGTTTTTTATTGCAGATTACCTAATCCTGTAATCCTCAGTCATTAAGTTATTGTAGTCAATCATCATTTAATATAATTTCAGAACATTCCAGAACTGATGGTTCTCATAATTAAACTTTTTACAAATGATACTTAGGAAATTCAAAGTATCATTCACATCAAATATAACATTTCGAATCATAATTTATACAGTATGCGAAAACATTGCATTTTATCCAGTTCTGAGCTTTGTTTGAATTTGCAAGTACCTTTCACTCCTCATAACTTATTTTCAGATCGATTGCAAAATTTGAACCAAACAGGCAAAGAGCTAGTGAAAAAGTGGAACAGTTCAAAGCGTTTCACAATATTCTACATTATTACAAAACACCCATTTAATTTTCCATGAAATTTATTTTACTGTTGAGCAGGTTATATATCTTATTATTTATCGTTACCAACTGGCCAGATAGCCTTAATTGCTGAGGACATTGAATCGAAAAGAAGAAGATCTATTCACAGTGTGAAATGTCAAACGCTGACAAATCCACTCGTGACGGGCAACTATGGCGGCGCAGTAGTACTAAAAAAAAAGACAAACAATAAAAGTTCCGACAAGAGTAACACTTTTGGTTTTAGATATACTATGGTCGTTCCTTGTCGTGCAGTTTCGCTGTGGAGTATTTATCGCGTTCGCGACAGGAACGTTTCAATAAAGGAGCAAAATTTCCCATCTCTAATAACAAACAATAATAATGACCTTGGATAGAATTGATTGTGGCTCTGCTATCTGTAGTAATTCGCCTGTCTTTGGTCACTCTTCCTGTGGTAGTCAGGATGTCTTACCGAAATGAATCCTTGAATATATCACTTTATCAAATGCATGTGCACAATGTAAATCATATCATGGCGGACATATAAAACATAAAATTGATATGCACATACTCTGGACAGCAGACATTTACAAAATACAATAAAAGAGAAAACGTGTGTTAAATAGAATATCCGCTCCCTGATCGATGAGAATGGCCGCAATACGTCCGCTTCCCTTCGACGACAGAAGTGGAAGTCCGTGAAACAGACTTGTTCGCAACTATCAATTTCAATTTGAAAATAAGTATGTCTATATCTATCTACCTTAAGCCAACACGAAAAAATACTTTTCGCAAAGATATTAATTTGAATTCTACGGTGTGAAGGGCAGTTACAATGTGGGTGAAATGCTCAAGGACTTTTTTGTATTCCTATAAAAAACCAATATATATAGTGAACTGTTTTGTAATATCTCGAAAGGATTGAATAGCGTTTTTGATGAAAGGTCGCAGGATAGCACCTCCCCCCGACTTCTTTCGAATAATATCGTTATATTTCAACCACTTTATACAAAACATTGTGCACATGAACCTTTCTCTTGAATCACTCCTTCCGTTGGTAAAAATCCGTTAGTTTTTTAATTCATTTGGTTCAGACTTTATATTGTGGTATTAAAATTAAATTTCCGGCAACGGTTATTTACCACTTCCAGGAAACAATCTGGCGATAATCATCTTTAAATGTCAAATTACATGTGGGGAAAAAAATGTCACAATTTAGTCATCTTTCCTTCACATGACGTCAACAACTGCTTGTCTTTGTGAAGTGTTTATAACCTCTTCTACTTGGAAAAATTGAGTGATTATCAAAATCTGAAAATTAAGGGAGTGCCGTATTTTAGTGATTGTTAAGAAACTTTATTGTAACACTTTATATAAAACCTTGTCATTAAACCATGTATATGGTAAGTGTTCACACATTAAAATGAACCATCATAAAAATGTTCAGTATTTCAGAACCAGCCCTATAGTGGATACCCAGGTGGTCAACCTCCTGCAATCAGCCCTGAGGTACAGGGCTGGTTTCAAGCCGTGGATAAAGATCGTTCCGGACAAATAAGTTGGGAAGAACTTCAAGCAGCATTAATTAATGGACAAGGTGAACATTTTTCACCAACATCTTGTAAATTGATGATTTCGATGTTTGATACAGACAGAACCGGTACTATAGGCATTAACGAGTTCCAATTATTGTATAATTACATCAATCAGTGGTTGGGTGTATTCAAAAACTATGACAGAGACCAGTCGGGGAGCATAGAGGAACCCGAACTGGCGCAGGCCTTTCAGCAAATGGGATTTCGATTTTCTGAAGACTTTGTCAAGTTTTTGATAGTGAAAAGTGATTTGAAGAATCACCAAAAAATGTCAGTTGATCAGTTTATAGTGGCTTGCATTCAGATACAGCGGTTTACAGAGGCATTTAGGGAGAAAGATAAGGAACTGAAAGGTGAAATTACGGTAACGTTCGAAGAATTTCTTGGCATTGCTCTAAATTGTTCTACCTGAGTGTTTTTATTTCGAGTTGTAAGAGTCCTAATGTTTCATTTCATATGTGATGATTAGAATATTCTTTCAAGGTGATCAATAGTTGATGTTGCTAATAGCAAGTAATTACAAGTGCAGATATGTTCTGTGCTTCAGCAAGATATGATTTGATCTTAATTTTTTAAATGCTGATTCTTTTGTTGAAAATAATCAAATGAAAGCATACTTGAATCTAACAGCAAACTATTGAAATTATAGCTACTTAAAAAGAATACCCTGATTTCAAAATATTTTTATATTCAGTTGTAAAAAAATATACCTATGCTATAAGTAAAATTTCATTATTTTGAAGTAACTTAAAAATTATTAAAGGAATAACAATGTATATAAACATTTGTAAATTGTGTTTCAAAAAACAATATAATGAATTTCAAATAATTTTACTGTATTTTTACCCTGTTTGTAGTTTCTTGCTGTGTAAGTTATAATGGGTGTTCTGTTTGGGCAACATACATTTTACGGTCGTCGTTGCTGAATCCGAGGCAGTCGATTTCACGTCGCTCCCCAGAATTCGATCTTTTGCAAACCACAAACTGGGGAATTTTGGGTCGGGATTTGGGCCTGCACCCGTATAAAATTCAAGTGAACTCCATAGACAACGTGTGTTCCCTGAATGGAGCTCTAGAGCAGTAGGCAAGTGACCTGAATTTTCATTAAAAATCATCTATAGCGATGAGGCCTATTTCTGGATGAATAAGTGTGTGAACAAACAAAATTGTCGAATTTGGGATGATACCAATCCACATGGGATCCAACAGTGTTCAATGCATCTCGAAAAGTCACTGTTTGGTGTGGGTTTTGGGCTGGTGGCGTCATCGGTCCATATTCCTTTGATAACGACGTTGGCCAGGCTATCACAGTAAACAGCGAGCACTATAGGTCGATAATTACCAATGTTTTTTGGCCTGAATTGGATGATCTGGACACCAACGACATGGGGTTTCAATAGGACGCCGCTACATGCCACATTAGATATACTGTACAAGCGATTTGAGGGCATGGTCATCTCACGTGGAGGTGTTGTGAACTAGCCACTGAAATCATGCAATTTGACGCCGTTAGACTTTTTCTTGTGGTGTTTTCTCAAGTCACAGGTGTATGCAAATAAGCCACAAACCACAGCGGTCCTTAAAGCCAACATAACCCATGCCGTCTGTCAAATTAAGCCTTATTTATGCGCCAGATTCATGAAAAATTGGGAGTTCCAGATGAGCTCCAAGGCGGACATTTGAACGATGTTATATTTCACACATAATATTATCAATATCATAATAGAGAAACAGCAAAATCTCGGCGACAGGACAACGCTCTGGTTCAATAAATGAAGATCGAGACCAAACCCGGGAAAATGACAATTTATAATTTTTCATTAAAACCCTTCAAAGACGCTACCAACAATAAACATCAACAACGAGATGGTAAGAAGCAGGCAATCAGTAAAATACTTGGAAGTTAACATTGATCACAAAATCAAATTGAACAGCCATACAAAAATGATTAAAAAGAAATACATCAAAAGAGGAAAACACTTTCGGAGTCTGACATTTGAAAAAAAAGAGGAATCAACACTCAAAATGCAACTAAAATATATAAAAAAAGATCTGCCGTCCACTTCTCGAATATGCACATGTGATTTATTCAAGTTGTTGTAATCCTGGAAACCGCTTTGCCAAAAATGAAACTAACAAGGAGACCCTACAGGTTTTATGTAGGGAAAGAGCTGAAGGACAACCATCCAAATTCAAATACCCGTAAAAAACTATTTGGGAAAACATCAAATCACTCTCATAATTTACTTTTTTTTGTCAGAAATATAATGAACCTCAAATCTATTATGTAAGCATATGTAAAAATAACTACAAATATTTAAAAATTGTACAATGGCTGAAGGACTTCGGTCGATGGCCGTTTAATATTCACCAATAAATGATTTTTTTTATTTTGGTATCAATAGGTCTTTCAAACAGATAAAAAAGTTCTATGATATCCTCTCACACACTTTGTTTTATTTAAATTTAAAGATAGGAATTGCTTAATGAATGATCCTATAGAAGAAAATATTCCTTCCAACAGTAGCGCAAAAATTCTAGCACTAAAAATCTTATCTGGTTTTAACACAACAAAAGCAAACTGAGAATGAAAAGAAGTGTAGAACATTCTAACATCAGTTCGAAAAAAACTCTGAAAGAAAAAGTTCTCTCGAAACAACTACTTTTATATAAACATTGAATAACACGAAAGAAAAAATACTTTCATAAAAAGTACTTTTATATGAATATTGAATTATACAAAAAAAACTTTTTTCTATTCAGTTTATACTCCAAACATTCGTTATGGTATCGAATTAAATATCATTCACAGATTGCTACACAATATAGTATATGAAGGTGGTAAAATTTCATTCACATGGAACACTGCCATTCTCAATGGTGGACATACAATGTTTCAGAATACGACACTTGCTTTGGAGTACAAAGTGAATATGAAAAGGTTTCTTTTGTTTAATTCAATGTTATTATAAAAGTAGTTGTTTCAAAAGGGCTTTTTCTTGCAATTTGTGTCTGAAAGTTACTTCTTTGCATGATTTTTACATCTTTGAATCAATAAATCACACCCTCCTAGCAGAAATAGATATGCTTTTGCCAATAACAGACGAAATCAAAGTTGCATCACATTTCATTATCATTTCATCTCAGTATTATTGAAATGCATGAAAGTGATTTGTTGCAAACATCAACATGAAAAAAAAAGGTAAGGATATTTTTATTTCGGTAAGTTAATTCGCAATACTACTGGTACACTAGTACATGGCAGAATTGCCAACTCCGTGACTACAGCAGTCACCAAATCCGGAGGAGTAACATCGTAAATGAGATTGAGAGCTGGTAATTTCGTCCTGTGATCAACTTTGCTGTCTCCAGTTTCCTCCAAAGGGAGGCTCAACGATTCGTGATCACCTGAAAAGTTAATATTTCATAGTTTGGAGATAATTCAAACTCAATAAAATGAAATACATTTAACATGTCACATATTTGTTAGCTCAGACGTTTATATGCTAATTTTATTTTACTCTCTTCTACATAGAAGTGAAAAAACTATCACTATAAGCGAAAATATTTCATATAAGTATTTCATCATTCAAAGAAACTTGAATTTTTTAAAAGTATGGAGTTTTAATGAAATCAACTCACAAATCAACAGGAGTTAAACAGAATATATGTTACATAGTTTCATTAATGTTTATTATAAACGTGATCTTAGCCTCATAAATAAATAAATACATAGACAAAATATATAATGGATCAAGATATTATAAAGGTAGCTCAAGCTCAATTCTTTTCAATAAAATCATTTGATTTGCTTACCCAATTCATTGATCACAATAGAATCTGTCTGAACCCTTTCACTGAACTTGTACGTTTCACAGCAAACTAGAACTGACTTATTATAAGCCCTCGCAACCATAGCAACTTGCGCAGTTCCCATTCGTGACATTACATATCCATTGGTTAGTAGGGCGTGAGCTCCAAGAATAACTTTTGTGACTTTGTTCATTATGTAGCTGATGGAATTGATGAGGACATAGGTACATTTAATGCCTGAAATGACCAATCTCCGGAGCATTTCTCTTCCTTCAAGAAGAGGCCTTCCGTCTACCACTATGACTTCGAATTTTTTTCCATTTTTGTGGGCTTCTAGTAAGATTTTTCTGACCAGTGAGGAACTGAAAAAAAAAGGGAAATGTAACAATTAATGTCAAAGTAATCAGTAAGTAAAATATCCAAACCTGTTTTCATTGCATTCAAAATTATAAAAACTAAAAGACAGTTTCATCAAAATGAGATACAGTAAAGATATTAGCTTCGGATCATGTTAGAGAATATAGGAGTCACATATGGTGAAAAATTATACTAAGAAACTATTCCATCTAAATCGCTTGTGAAAAGCACAAATATTCATTGAAGAATACAATTCAACATTCAGAGTGTCACTCTTTATAGACAGGTTTGTTAAATACGTATCTGGGCGTTCAGTAAGTCTGCTTTGCTTGACAAGTGTTCGATAATACAGCTCTGTGTTCAATATTTACGAGAGTGAGGAAAAAAATGTGATAGGTTAGCTGACTGAGTATCATAGACATAATTTTTATATTTGTATTTGAATTGCTTAGGCAATGAATTGCAGAGTTTCACAGCACAGAAAAGAAATAATATCTGAAACTGTGCAGTGTGATGTCGTGGCATAATTAATTTGTTTTTATTTCTAATATTTATTAAGTAGATATCTTCACGCTGATTAACGAAAAAAAAAAAATTTAAACAGAACAGATTTTTAAACGTAAGTAGAATTATTTTTTGTATTGAAAGGAGAGATAGTGGGTAAGGGTAATCAATTTATGAAAGAAACAACCCAAATGATGAATCATACGGTTTTTCATATCGAGCCAGAGGAAGTTTTTAAAGGCTTAAGAATTGGCAATTTGTCACTCACGTTTGTCATAATATAGTATCTTAAAAGGTTTCTTATTTTCATAAAAATGACATGATCAATGCTTTCTTTAGTGCTAGTCATTCTTAAATAGTTGTAAAGAAAGGTTTGCATTTTAAAAAGGAAATTGTAAGTTACAGTTATGTTGTAAAAAAAAACTTCACCTATTATATTTGATGATAAATGTCAACTTGTCATTCCAGTTAGAGCCGAGCGTTCGTTAAAAACATTTTGCTCTGTTGACTCTTTGATCGCGTGATATCAAATCCGCATGTGCGGAAACCGAAAACCTCTTATGTGATGGTACAAAAGTAAAAAAGATCTGACCATTGACATAGAAACACATATGGCCAGGATGAAAAGATAAATAGATGAAGTACTCTTCTGATGATCTAAAATTTATTTTCAGGCTTGTTTATACCAGTAGTATAAACACACCTGAGGAAGCTATTGTATAGCGAAACCCATGTTGCGGCTTTGTGAATTGTTTTGTGAGAATCTCACAATAAAGTGTTACTTGAATATCAAACTTATGCTAGTACTTATATAGGAGAGTACTTCATCTATTTATCTTTTCATTTTCATCCTGGCAGCTCGACTGTGTTAACCTTTATCTATGTCATTTCTGTAAGTGTGGATTTGGATCCCTGGAAGGCTTGCCATATTTCTGATAACACAGTTGTCAGTTTTAAATTTGTCAAGCTGTTCGAAAATAATTTCATGAAAATGAAAAGATGAGTACTAGTCCGATCATTCACAATTTTATTTCAATTCAAGAGCCCCCGGTAGACGCTGTTGGGCATCGTCAGTACCGATATATACATATATAAATACTTTCAAAATCCAAATTTTCGCATTGAAGTTCATTTCAATTGTTCAAAAGATCTAGTACATTCATTTTGAAAACTGAAAAACTGTAAAAGCTGTCTAGCCTCCATTTGCTTTATAGATCAAGGAAACTAATTAAAATTATTTAAACTACTTTGGCAATCGCCCATCTATGAGTCCAAAAGCTTCCCCATCAACCACTGAACTTTAATCTGGTTCATAAATTTCAACTCATTTCAAACTACTCAAAGGATTTTTTATTTTGCAATACATCGATGCTTTTCAAATCTGTCCATTGATATTTTGCATTGTTACCATAAAGATGCATAGAAATCCTGGTGTTTAAGCAGATTCACTTTTGTTTTGTCAAAAAATCTACGCAAGAAATGAAATTTACCCAACTTTGTACACATGTTGATAGACGGAGCAAGAATCGAAATCTGTTCCTTCTATTTTATTCAATATTCAATTCATGGACCATAATGTGAAAATATCTTTCACCTAATATCAATGAGGTGAGGTGGTAGAAAAAATTAGTAATTTTGAATTATTAATTTGAACTTTGCCTTTGACATCAGCCCTAGGATTACAACTAATTTTCCAAATGTAAACAACTTCGACCATTCACCTCTGTGAATGAAATGCTGAAATTTATTGGATCCCTTTATTATTTCTTCATGAAAAGTGCCACCTGTCAATTTTTGAAAATATTTTTCATTGGGAGGGGTCCAAATGATCATACCAGTGATATTTTATGCACCTTAGTTACCATAATAATAGTAAGTGCCAAATTAAAAACATTAGGAGCAACTATTTTCAAAATATTGGCTTCAACATGCAACAACTAAAAAATAAAGTAAAACAAATGTTCAAATTTCAAAAAATATAGAGATTCTGGGATCCATCAAATAGGTATTACTAAAGGAAACTTTTGTGGTATGTAACATAAATTAACTAAAAATTTTGTTATCAAGAATTATTTTTAAAGAATACAGTGCAAGTGTAGATGACTCGTGGATTTCAGGATGACTAATACTTCTTGAGAATTACAAGCCAAATGAGTTTAAAATATTTCAATAAAATTATTAGTTTCTAAAAATGACTTGGAAAGAATTTCAATAATTTACTTTGAAAATTTACCAACCATCCATATGTCAAAATCACATCTCCATTTATAATTTTTTCACCAACTCTCATACTGATAGCGTCTCCTGCTTTTTCAATATCATCATTTATATATGTATCAATTACATTGAGTAATATCGCTCGTTTATCATTGTCCCTCAAATTTGTATCAATTTGAGTCAAGGTCAGTTTAAAATGCCTGAGAGCATTTGTCATAGATACTGCAAGACTTCTGCAACTTTGTAGATAGTTTGTACACGATTGCAAAACAGTTTCTAGATATCTACAAAACTCTAGTTTGGCAGGAACTTCTAAATCATTAACGAGATGCTTCATAGTAGCTAACATAGCTAAACATCTAGCATTTGACCCAAGAATTTTTTTCTTGGAATATTGCACACCTAACATAATAAAAGCTGGATGAATTCCGCTGGGCAGTATGTTGTTGTGTTTGGAGCTATTTTCATCATATAAATGTTGAACAAGCTGAATTCTATGACTATGCGTTACTTTTTCACTTGGGGACTTCCTGATTACTTTTTTGGGTTTCTTTACAACAGACTCTTGTGAATTTTCGGCAGTAATTTGCTTTACAGTTTTAGTTTCATCAGTTTTTGATGCAGCTTTTAAGAGGCGCTGTGCTTCTTGTTGTTCTCTTCGCTTGGCTTTCAACTCGGCTTTGCTCAGCGTTTCTTTATTTACTTTCACACCGCCTTTTAATTTTTCTTCTGCAAGTCTTTTTTCCCACTCTAGTTTCCTGAGTTCCTTTTCTGAAAGTTGTTGTGTAAGGGAAGATTGGTCTTTATTATCCTCTTCTTTTGAAGATATTGGTTTGTTCTGCTTGAGGTTATTTTTTATTTTCATTACTGAGCATTCCTTAACTGAATTTGAAAGCAATTCTTTTTTATTGATGGATTTAATATCTTGTGACTGTTTATTCTGGACTTTCAAAGTTCTACTTTCTTTTTTCGTTAAACCGTCTTGACCGCCTTCCACTGAAACAATATATCAAATTACATTAGGTACAATGTTTTAGTAACTTTTTATGCTTACTTTTGGCGCTATTAACTTTTTCCATTATTTTTGAACTCTTATTGTTTTATAATATCATCCAATACATTTCTTGCATCATCCATATAACCATAACCATATAAGTGTTCTCTGTCTGAACCATATGTTTCTATATTCTGTGATCGCTGGTTTTTTGGTTTTGGTTCTGAATTTCAAAGTATCGTAATTCCGTTCCGAATTGACGCTAAATCAATGGGCAGAACATAACAGTCCTGTAACAGCACAGAATACTATTCAGAGATAGCAGTTCGCACAATTGAAAAAGCGAAACAGAAAAATACTTGATTGCGTAGTTGGGGAGTTATCACTTATTTTTACTTAGTTATTTCGTTTTATATTGTAATTATAAATATCACCAATGCATATTAAGTGAAAATGCACATGTATGCACAACACAAATGAAAAGTTTCATTAATGACCATGTGCCAATTAAATTAAAAGTTCAAACCAGTCCCTACTCCAATGTCAGAACTGATAATTACCGTTCCGGTTAAGTTTCGAATCAGTTCTGAAAAAACCAGAACAATTTGGGACGCTGACAGTACCAAAACAAACCTGATGTACGGGAATGGAATAGACATAGACTTTAGACAAGTTTACCTAATCTAAGACATAGACAGAAACATTTGACGTTGACTTTGTTCTTGTAAGGCACTGTCCGAGAAATGATGTAGTAATGAATATTACTGGAGTTGGAGTTTTTCCCAACACCAAATCGTTATTTTTAACACATCGACACGTGTTTCGATCACCAAGTGATCATCTTCAAGAGAAAGATTATACTGTTATTATTGAATTTTCAAAGAAGATTCTAACTTCAAACGATGTTCACTTCTGGTAACCATAAATATTAGTGACAAAGGTAAAAGAACAAAACAAAGTCAAAAACATTCAAAATATAGGTACTAGGTTCAAAATTAAATTGTATTTATATTTTTTTGGGACAATCACATAAGAGATTGAGAGTATATTCAAAATATTGGTATTGTTAAGATTCCATGAGGTTGAATAAAATTGTTTTATTCTTTTCCAAAATATTAAAACCATATAGGAATAATTCATTATCAAGCAGTACTGATGATACATATCACTGGTTAAAGTTGAGTTGAGTCACAGGTTAAAGCCATCATTTGGAATATAATTTCAAGAAGAAATGTCAATATCATGAAGAATTTAGTTGAAATCTTTACAAATAACTCTTGAGTTTATCAAGGCTTTCACAGTGTGCAGTGGGATGAAATGTTCAGTATGAGTTCCTACAACTGTCCTATTTTAGAGGACAAAAATACCATTAAATGAACTCAAAAAAAATAGGGCGATGTATAACGGTATATTAACTGCAGCAGACTGGATTAGAAATTGTTTTGACATTTCTTATAGGTTAGTTTTTTACAATTGTAATATAAATACATTTTTCAAGAGCTTCACATCTATAGTCCATACTGGATATGCATGTAGATATACTATGAGAGATCCTGTTTGAAAAAATATGACTTTGTTTCATATTGAAATTGCAAAAGCGGTTCCCCCAGAAGTGCAACTGGATATATTCTACTTTTTTGTGTGGAATGTGATCAAATCATCAATGTATAGATGAAACAATGACAATAAAAACACAATGAAACTTGAAAAACCAACAGCTTATACAATCAACTACAAACCGTGTATTTATAATCGACATCATTACAGAATATTTTTTCCTCAAAACATAATTTTTTCACTCCGATTTTCTCTTTTCGACAGCCTGAAGACTTTGTTATATCTCAGCTGAATCAAGTGAAACAATTTGATGAAGAAATTACTTGCTGACGTGGCTTTTTGAAATACGTTTTTTTATTTGTTTCATTATATAAATTTCAGTATTCTATCAGAAGTTTAACTTCATAAACATTTATTTTATTTTATTTATAAGTAAGGTTCATTTATATTCTTGGAAATGTATAATGTACATTTCATTATAAATAAACCATTATAAATTACCAGCTCCTGATAATTCAACATTCAGCCATAACTAATAACATGTATATATATATGGCAAATGTGCAAAGTGGATTTTTTAAGATTTCAAGATACACCTTTTTGTGTTTTCACTCCATTTCCACCCGCTCAAGATACACATTTTTGTTTTTTCACTCTATTTCCACCCGCTCAAGATACACATTTTTGTTTTTTCACTCCATTTCCACCCGCTCATAGTTGGCCTAGATAATTTGAACTCTAAGACAATTTTCCACTTAATTATTATTTCAATATATTCAACAAAATTCATTTTTTGTGGAGGAAAATCAGTTTGTCATCAAAGTTACTGCGTAAAATCAAAGTATTTTTCATAAAGAAAAATGTTCTATTTATCAGTAACTTGTCGTATTTAACAATTTTGCCTATCAAAAAAATTGCTAAGACACAATACAATACTTATCTTTACGTTCTGCCTCCGTCTTCAGAAATGGACAAAAAAATTCCAAGATATTTGCAGTTTTTCCTTTTTGATTATTTATTTCTTAACTTTTTCAACAGATGTCAAAGGAGTTTTGAAATATAATAATTTTTATATTTTTCAAATTGTGGAAGGTAACAAATACCCAAAACAGGTTGATGAAAAAATAATTAAATATATTTTGCCTTTTATATGAGTAACTTTACACCAGTATACCTTTGACATTTCATTATCGAGTATATTGAATTACCAAAGAATTTTCCACTTTCAAACATTTCTTATACCAAATTCAAATTCCTGTACTAGTTTGTGATAAAAACTACTACATATCTGATGAATACAAACTGAAAAAAGGTTTGGGTGTTAAGAAAAAGTGACTATTAAAAAGTGATGATAAATTCACACAAGCCCAAATTTCAACTTAGTAATTTTGAAACTGCAACTTCCACACGGCATTCCAATCTGAAATACACTGTAAAATGTTCCATATCAGTACCTACATATATTTCCATTTAAAAACATTGAAATTCGGTAAATTGCTTTATGGAAAATTTATTCACATTTTTAGAAAAAATCAAAATAAATACAATTTAATGTTGGGTATTACAGCATCATCAATGCCGATTTTCAAAATCATTTTCAACTTATCCCTCTTGCCTGAATGAAACTAATCTAACAATATATCATCTTGTTCAGGAGGCTGAAATTCATCGTTATCTGGCCTGTTAGGTCTTATATTAGCGACTCTATCTGCATCTGGAGGTTGAAGTGGATCGTTCCTTGCTCCTGGTGGTATTGCTCTTAAGGGATTTCCAAGGCGTCTTGCAGGCCGTTGACCATAGTTTCTTGAACCCACCAAGGGTAAAGGATGTATCGGTATAAAATTCCATGGAACTACAATTCTACTTCTTCCGGGGCTAGTTACATAATCTTCTACTGGTCGCGTTTGGCAAGAATTGTCTTTATACTTTTTAGAAGTTATGACTTTGTCGATCAGTTGCTTTTCTATCATATCACTGATACTTTCATTATCAGGTATCATTTCATCCAAAGTCCCTGTTTTTTTGACTATAGATCTGGAATTCAACTGAACGAAGGCCATAGAACGTTCATCCACTCTTATTAAATTTATCATTACTACATCATCTAAAACTGTTGCTTTGAAGTTATACAAACGTCCTTGGTTGATATACCTTATGGCATAGTGCTGATTCCAGTGCTTAGGCAGTGCTTGGGTTTCTGTCTCATCGCCTTCAAGAGTTTTAGATTCACCCAATCCCACAATTTTGAATCCATGTGAAATAAGAACAAGATGAGTTAGGCATACCAAAATGTCTTGATCATTTTTAATGTCCTTTTCCACACTGTCATACAATAATTCCCATGAAAGTAGTGCGTTAGCCATTTTATCTTATATTTTTTTGTATATACTTCCATCACATCAATTTTAAAACACCGTTTTTGTTCAATAATCATCACCAGTGGTGCTTTTTGTTTCTATTTCCTACTATTTAATCATTCCACCCTGTACTGAGTGACTATATTGCCGGTAAAGTTTAAATTATAATTGACACATTTAAATATTTCAATAGGTAGAATTGAAATCTCTGGCGAATCTGTTAAAATCACATTTCCCAAACCAGAACAAAAATACTGTCTCTCGAAACGCATTTCCCAACCAAGTAAACATCATCAGGATATGACTAAGACTTAGCTTTTATTCCCATTTTACTAAAATCTATCAAAGCACTGAACGCGGTGCACAGGAGCCATATGTCTTAACATTTGTGTAGTTGAGCGATATTTTTCAACGACAGAGTGAGATATGGGAAACGAATATATAAATATATATGATTGATGATTTATTACATTAGCCCTTATGAGTACTCGAATTTTGTTTACCTGTGACAATGTGGGTAGGTATGCTAATTTGAAAACCGGTAGTAAACTAGATCGATTTGATCATTTAACAGGTTGCACCCGCAATGCTTATGAATTTCCAAGGATTCCAAATAATTGAGTTTGCCACCCTTTTTTGCATAGTGCAAGATTCCCGTATCGTTTAGATGCGGGAACTTGTGGAATAGTTTGAAAACGTCGAATCATTTTTACCTAGTCTGAAGGATCTTTCATGTTCAGCATACCATTTTGAGAAATTTCGACCACATTGTTCCACATAAACACTATCACATCTGCCGGACTGAGTCATGGCCCTTGAGAAGCCCCTCCCCCAAGATGTGCAGTAGATGTGCAGAAATCTGTCATCAGTAGATTATTCGAGCCGTGAACATCCAACATCATACACCGACCCAAACGCAGATACAATTTCTCTCACCGGCCATGGCTCAGTCCGGTTACTGTACACTCCGGCGGACACTTAAGCTTGTAAACTCCAGATTTTTCCAACTTTTCCACTTTATCTTTGGCATTGAAAAGGAAATCAGATAACCTGACATGTGGTCTGAATGCCATTTCCACATTGTTTTCTCTGAAGAAATCCCCATTTATCTATGTTATTTTACCAACAACATATGTTAGAGTTACACATTTCTGGATTTCTGATTGTTTGATCTGGAGGTTTATTAATCTGAAAGTGAATTTATGGCTTTATTTTCTGACTAACTGCGTAATTATATCAATTTCCCTAGCTAGATTTTTGGTAGACAAAGGCAGTAATTGTAGGCTGCTAATTGATGACTGTCTAGATGGAAAGAATCGCTTGGGATGCTAATGTCTGTATGGCTAGGTTTTCTGAATACATTGAACTCAAATTTATTCTGATTGTGTGTAATGGTCAGGTCTAAGAAATTTATCTGTTTCTCTACCTCTGTTTCGAGTGTGGGGTGAACTGAATGTTTCTATTGAGATTTTTCATGAATATCATAAATTGGTTCAGCTGTCGTGTAGTACCTACCTCTGAAACATGCAAGAATATCGTCTACATATCTATACGAAAAATGAATATGCTTTTTACCCAGGTCAGAATTTATCATAATGGTCTCCAAGCTGTTCATAAATATGTCTAAAAAGTGGACTAAGGGGAGAACCCATTGATAAACCTGAATCCTGTTTATAAACTTTGTTGTTGAACTGTAAGTAACTCTGATTTAGGCACACGTCGAATTTTCAAAAGAAGTGATATGGTCTACTTTGGCTTGATCTAATATATCATTCATTGTACGCTATATTGGAGAACATTCTCTTTACATTGAATGAAACCAAAATTTAATCATGTGGCGTGGTTTGGTTACTTATATTTTCACTAAAGTCAGTTAATTTTTAATGCTGTCAGGTGGGACGAAATTGGTGGGAGGGCAGGAGGAGGAATCATGGAATCAAAGAAACGAAGAATTACCAACATGAAGTTTCATGTTGGTAATTTGGCTATGATTTCCAAAAGTTTCGACTGCAACTGCGGCAGTCATCTTCAGTGGCGTGGTCAAAGTACTCTTCTTGACGTGTCAACTGAAACAGTTTAAACAGTTGCAGTCGAAACGTTTGGATATCATAACCAAAGAAGACCACGGCAAAACCCGGAAACCATCCAAAACATTGACGCCAGCCGTGAAAGCCTACACACATACACAATAATTGAAACAGAATAAAATATATAATGTTAATAAAACGATGTAGTGTGTGGTTTGAAATAATAGTAATTATAAACATTGAATTCGAATATTTTTCTATGAACGAAATCGGAAACTACTATCCTGGGATAAAAAAAAATGAATACCTAGTCTTAATTTTTTTCTAACAAGTGAATCATTCAGAAAGTACGAATCTCCTCAGGAATAGTATTATACAGAGTCGGAGCCAGGTAAGTATATGAGTGTTGGAAAATAGATTGTTGTGTCTGAGAAATAACATGATCATTTTTTCTGCGAATGTGGATGCTGTATAAGTGGGTTGGCAGAGCAAAATTTCTGTTTTTATGGTAATGGTAACATAATTATAATAAAAAAGTTGGCGAATATCAAAAACTTGTGCTTTTTGTTGAACAGAGTTTCAGTTGAATAATGAGGCGGTTTTGACATGAAGGTGCGTATGGCACGTTCCTCTCCAACAAAAGTGATTCCGTAGCTCAGGTCACTCGCTACAAATGAGTGATTTAAAATTTTGAGGTTAGAGTTCGTCAATATTTTTACCAAGAATTTGAAATTGAAAAGTATGCAACGCAACTTACAAATATACTGAATAAGAGCATCCCATTCAAGATATGACTTTATTATTACTCCTGAGTATTTCACTTAAGATTCGAAAACTAATACATGTTGATCAATCTTCAGTTGTGAAAAACAAGGTTTGCTGGAATTGGTGCAACTAACAGGTATATGGTGAGTTTTCTCCAAATTCACTGTAAATAATCGATGTTCAAGCCAACTTTCAATCAAAACCAGATCCAATTCAACTACATGTTGCTCCCAGATATTGCCTTGTAAAAATGGCTGTATCAGCTGCGAAGTCCAATATTTACTTTTGCTACTGATGTAATATAGTCCAATAACATACATGCTGTGTCTTGGGGGTTAGATCAAAATAAGTGAGTGGATCTATTCGATTCTCGACCTTGGTGAAAATTCCATTTTACACACTGGAGTCTATTGAGTATTATCTCCTTCACCAATATCTTCTGTTTTCAGTAATAGGTTGTAGTCAACTGTGTTGAATGCCTGCGACATAGGTATACGGTTTATTTACATTGAGAGCAGATGATATTTCTGAAATAAGAGCTAAGATTGTGCCTGTGGTAAATGATTTTTCGCTAAACCCAAATTGACGGTCAGATATAATATCATATTTGAAACATTTTTTTATGATCTTTTGTTGAGGTGTGGAGTGAGTGACATGGGTTGGTAGTTTATAATGTCCCTCTCATCGCCTTTTTTAAATAATGGGGTTATTATGGCTTTTTGAGAGCTGTTGGCCAGAAACTTTTCCAAATATTTATTAAAAATGATTGGCAAAGGCTCCTCGATATAACAGGAGATGGACTTCAGTGTTTCAGAACAGTTACCGTCGATTCTTTGATGTTATGTGGTTCAAAATAATATCACAGATCACTAAATTCATATGCTGCGTTTTTCGACCACCAAGCGATAGACAACATTCTCTTCACTTGCAACCACCATTGACTTTCTGCAAATCAATTATCCTAGTGCCGAAATTTCCATATTCGGTGACTTCAATGTCCACAATATCAAATGACTCAAATTTTCAAATATCAACGACGAACAAGGTTGCGAAGCTGAGGCTTTTGCAATAAGCTGCGTACCTACTTACTCACAAGTAAATGTATAAATATCTACAACCAATTCGGAAATATACACACTCACCGAAAGGTCTCCGCATTGGGATTATCTGACCACAAACTCATTTCAATGTTGGGTGAATTATCAATAAATGTTGGGGAACAATCTAAGCCACGTAAAGTTTGGCATTACAGATCTGCAGGGGAGAATCTTCAAAACCGTTTCCAAAATTTCCCCTGGCTAGATATTTGTTTCAGCTCTGAAGATCAATCTATTTCTGCTTCTGAACTAACGGAAGTTATTCTATCATCCATGGTTGCGTATATTCCTTTTCTAATGAAATGAACTTTCAACGGCAAACCTTGGTTCAACAAAAATTGCGAGCAAGCTATCGCTTCCAAAAATCTCGTCTGTCGGCAGTGGCGCAAAAATCCCAGTGTCAAAAACCGAACTTAGAACAGAGAATTAGAGGAATAAACTGCTTGCCAATCCCAAGGGGTCTAGTTCCTTCTAGTCGGTAGCTAAAGCTGTTGATCAAAACTTCACAAAATCCACAATTCCAGTACTAACACAAGCGAGTGATTCAGTAGCAATAACAGCCAGAGAAAAGGCAAATTTACTAGCTGAACAATTTGCGTCCCGATTCCACAGTCGATTTTCTGGAACAGGCACCACCCGTTATTCCCACGCTAGAATCCACGATGCCGGAAATTACTTTTCGACAACGTCTAGTCAGAAAAATATCAACAGCTCAATATCAACAAGACATCTGGTCCTGATGAAGTGCCTGTCATCGTTCAACCCATTCCCGAAAAGGGCATGAAAAATCTTCCAAACAACTATAGACCAGTCGCTTTGCTATCAGTGATATAAAAAATTATGGAGGAAGCCGAAAATTAACATATCCTTAAATATTTGGAAGGCTTTAACATCTTGAGCCATCATCAATATGGCTTTCGGAAACAAAGACCAACAGGCGACCTTCTATCGTATGTTACCCATATTTGGAATAACGCAATCGAGAAACATGGAGAGTCAAGAATTGTTACGCGTGGCATGAGGGTTTGTTGGCCAAACTTTGATGCTGTCGCTTATCGGATCATTTTTGTGTATGGCTCTACAGCTTCCTGAAAAAACATTCCCTACAATTGGCCGT